CGCCGTCCCGTTCGCGCTGCCGTTGAAACTTATATTGCTGTTTCGTTCGTTCGATTGTATCTTTACAAACAGGTGGATGTGTGAGTGTTGCATATGTAGTAAAGTGGGATCAGTTTTTGTTTGATGCAAGTAAGAGCGTACCGTATCTACCCTTTTTGTTTTAATCTAAGGTGATACTAGTGTTAAATCCAAAGCATTCCTTTGTCATACACTAGAGCCAACAGTTGTCAGCTGACCATCATTCAGGAGTACTAAGTTATTGTCATTGATGCTGTCAATAATATCGCGCCCCCGTAATTCAATAGAGCTACAGCCCCATGCTGTATGCCGGGCGTTAAAATCGCCAGCAATCAGCAAAGGTCCAGGGATACTGCTGATTAAATAATCAAGTTTTGATTTAGAAAATGAAGGGTTACAGTTACCTGGACTATATAAAGACACAAGAGAAATTTTTGGTTTCCATAATACAATCTTACAGCTATATTTTGAATTGAATCATCAAATGATGTATCTATCTTATGGAATTGCAAACTATTATGAATAAAAATGGCAACGCCATTATGGCGGTTACCTGAATCTAGTCTAATTATATCATAACTTTTGAGAGTAAACTGAATGTGTGGTTTTAACCATGTCTCAGTAATCAAAGCTACATGAATCTGATTCTCTTGTAGAAAATTTGTTAATAAGTATCTGTGTGCAGGTAAACTCTGAGCATTCCATTGCATTATATTTAAAAAATCCATAAAATAAAAAAAAATTAAGTGTTTTGTTTCTTATTTTTATTTATTGTTTCCAAGAGAGTATCTTTTATACTCTGTGTGGAAATAGCTGTTTCATTGTTTTTGTTCATTGTTATTAATTTGACAATTGACTACAACCATATTCAAAATAAAATCAGAGTTTAATAGCAATGCTAGCATATCAGTGGGGCTTTGTTTCAAGGGAGGGAATGATTTCTCATTAATTACAGCAGAGTATGTTTTATTCTGAACCTTTTCTCTATTTAATAATATTTTTTCTTTTTTTACAGGGCACTGTGACGATATAGCCACATGGTTCCCCTTGCAATGACAACATACAGCATCCTGACTTGATTTTGTACAGAGTTCAAAGTTATGTGACTCACCACATATGGAGCATCGTTTTGCATTCTTACAAAATTTGGCAATATGTCCATACCTCAGGCACTTAAGTAAGACACTGCTTGACTGGGGGTATATAGGGTCGTTATTCGAAACACCAGCTGTTGAGATCGACATTCTCAGGTAATACTGGGCATGAAAATGTGATAGAAACTGTCTTTGTCGGCTCCAATTTATTTTCACCATTATCAGTCCTTATTCTTCTCATAAAACGTCGAATGCTTACAATATTTTTTGTAGAAGTCAATGCAGAGTATGTTTGTTCATTCGATAATTCTGTGGGCACATGAGTGATAACACCTGTGACTTCGCTAGCTGCTGCCGGAATAGATGCCGACAGGTTGTATGCTTCCAAGAATTTTCTATTCTGCTCAGACCAAATAAAAAGTATTTGGTCTGAGCTATTCTGTAATGCGGCGTTAGCCAGACCAGGACGTTCAAATACCACACCGATTTAATATTTGTTCACTCTTCGCAACTGTTTTGCACCTTTGTTATATCGCTTCAAGCAGTTTGCTAATCCCATCATGTCCCGATTACCAATAGGCTGATCAGATTTTGTAGGTACTCTCAATGAATACCACATATTCGAAACTTCCGCCTTGTTCTGGGTAAAATCGAACGTAATTAGGGATTCGGAAATCTTTATATTTATTTACGCTTTCTTTTTTCTCTTCTAGAGACTGTATGGAGGAGACGTCGCTAAAGTTAGAATCTTCAGAGCCATCTCCATCCACGACGCCTTGTTCATCTAATTGTTTTTTCCTTTTTCTACTCTTCCTATTCCTATTTTTTTTAAATACACTATGTACACACTTATTATTAAAGACTATTCAAACACTATTCACAATAAATATATACAAAATTAATAAATTTAGTTTTATTCTTTAAAAAAGACCGCCAAGCTCGTCAAACGTTCCCGCGCTTTTTTCCTTAAATAAGTTCGTAAGCAGTAGCAGTGACAAGACAATAACAAAGATCTATCAACAAAGAATAATGTCAAAAGGTGACGTACAAAAGTATAAAGGATTAAAAAAATACATAATAATGTCAAAAGTGTTTAATAGCCGCAGCCAGTCGGCGCAGTGTACCACCCTTGGTGAGGACGTCTACTACGCGGACCACTCCGTAAGGTCCCGGGAAAGTTTGGACCACCCTTCCTAGGGGCCACAGACCACATCGCCCTCACTGAAGATAACGGCATTGCGAGAAGGCCCTCTGGATCTAAGCGTTGGCAGATATTCTCGCAGCCATCGTGTCCAGACTTGGTCATCAACGGAGGGTACATCGGAGAATGTACACGTCCAGGGTGCAGTAGAACAGGTACCCAGAATGAAATAGAAAGGTGTCAGTGCTTCAGGCGAATCTGGTGAAGCCCGTACGTAGGTGAGAGGTCTAGAGTATATGATGGCTTCTGCCTCGAGTAATAATGTGGTTAGTAGGTCTTCCTTGACTGGGTCTTTAAGGCATGCTTTTAGGACAATCCTCACGGTTTGTACCATTCTCTCCCATGCTTTGCCCATAAATGGAGATGCAGGGGGTATAAAACGCCCCCTAAAAAATCTATCTATCTTCTGATTCGCAGCAAACTCTTCAATGGCGTGGTCAAATAAGAAGCGCAATTCACGAGCGGCAACGACGAAGTTTGTGCCGTTGTCTGAAAATATGGTCGACGGGGTACCTCGCCGGGCGATGAAGCGTCTCAGGCTCAGAATAGCAGCGTCCGTCGAAAGTGAGGTGACTACTTCAAGGTGTGTGTGCTCTAGTCACAAAACAGGTGTACAAGGCGAAGTAGCGATTTTTTTTATGTCGCAGTGCAGTAACCATTATAAGTCCAAAGTAATCAAGGCCGACATGAGTGAAGGGCCTTTTGTGGTGATCGAGACGTTCTGTTGGTAAGTCGCCGGTCTGGGGTATGCTTGCCTGCGCCTTCAATCTGCGGCACTTAAAACAGGCGCTCGCTACAGAGCTTTCTCGCTTTTAATATCCAAAACTTCTATCGCAGTTCATTTAGAACTTCTTCATTAAAGTAATGTGAGGCCTTTACGTGTTCCTATGTTATCAAAAGCCGTACTGTATGATGGCGACTATCCAGAATTACAGGTGCTTTTATGTACTCGGTCAACCCGGGGACAGAGCTGTTGCGGGTGCTCAAGCGTAGTAGGCCGTCAGTATCTAGCACTGGTGCGAGTTTTGCAATGCGACTATACTAGGGCAATAGTAGCGAGGTTCGAAGTGCTCATGACTCTTCTCGGCCTCAATTATATCTTTTGCACGTATTTGTGAGGACGGTGCAGTGGTATATAATTTAGAATTCGGAGTAATTGGCCGAGATATCAAGTTCCGAAAGGTTCGCACGCATAATGGAACACTGGCAGTGGCGAGCATAGAGGTATATGAATAGTGTGGAGAAGGTGGCTCTAAAAGTGTCCGTCTAGTAGAAAGAGAAATAAGATGAGAGCGGCTAGCTATCTCTCTCTCTTGTGACGCATGGCATCCAATGGCAGCACATCGAAATAGTATGATGCTTACGGTTGCCAATGCGCATGCGCGATTAGAGAGAGAAAGCTAGCAGTCTCCCATCTTATTTCTCTTTCTATTATAGGGACACTTCTACTTGTAGTAGAGTCTATATCTAGCCTGCTCAATTCTTTTACCTCTATGGTGGCGAGACAATAACAACGATCTATCAACAAAGAATAATGTCAAAAGGTGACGTACAAAAGTATAAAGGATTTCAAAAATACATGATTATATCAAATAGTTTAGTAGCCACAGCCAGTCGCCAACACCACAAGCCAACAAGTACAAATCGAGTATATAGTATAAATCGAGTCAAACGTCCAAATCGTCAGTGTTTTGAATAGGATTTACTGGAGGGTTTAGGTAACATCCCTTGTCCATGTCAGACGCGCTCAAATATCTTTTTCCTATATTACTCCTACGTCCGCCCACCCCTACACCATTCAAATCGGCAGATTAATATTTGTTGTCTGTCATCGGAAACATAGGTTCCTATTCGAAAGACTGACGATTTGGAAACGACCAAAAGTCATGCTCGATTGTTGAAATAAAATATATTTTGCTGCCCTAGATAAAGGGGTCAGGTATGGTAGTAATACTTCACAGGGTACAAGGTTGCTCCCCTCATCTTATTCTGACACACTCGAGTAAATCTAAAATCCCTGCTTAGGTTCCCCTACTATAAATAAATAGATAGTACAAAAAGGCGTTGGAATATTTTCTTCCTTTCGTCTTTCGTTTATCTACTTTCTGACAGTTTAATTTAATGATGTTAGGTTACGTTAGCTCTCTTCTGTACTTTTAATTTAATTAATTGCACCTGTAACTGAATGAAAAGGTAGGGGTTATTCATGGTTAGCCTATGGTGGCGGTCAGAACTTTATATCAGGCCCTGCTTCCAAAGAACGATCCCGGTTCGTATTCGCAATTTGATTAGTGTCATATGCGACGACGAAACAATTATAATTGCTTTTTATAAATACCTTAAAGAGTTAGCAAGACAATAAAAGCGGAGATTTCACAACCACATACCTATCAGATCAGCTTATTTTTTTCTTGGCTTTTCGACTAGTTTCTTAAATAGAATCTTTGTATACAATTATTAACAAAAGCTCGCTTACGTTACACGTTTGCCGTATTGCTTTTATGTTACCATCTTGTAACATAAAAGCAACACGGCCAACGTGGATTTAAAATGTATATTATTAATCTGAGGATGCGCAAAAACAAAGAAGAAAATATACTAAGTAGAGGCTGCGTGGACTGAGCATACTTTGCATTCTTATAAGGTACAAAATCACAAAGATAAAAATAAAAGTCATTTTTGACACGTACGTAGCCGCGTGCCATGGCGGGAAACAAATTGAGGAAAACAAACAAACCAACATTTTGCTTCATTTAGCACACAGTACGATTGTTTTGGTTTTCATGATGGTGTAATTTCTTTTTGTGAACCATCAGATCAAATAACTGTGAATCAATTACCATAACATGTGTTATCCGTAACTATCACATTTTACCAATTAAAGCAGTTCCTTGTTTTGGTCTAATTACTCTACTTTATTTATTTTTTATTAATCGCGGCAATAATTGAAATGGAATCAAACCTAAATGAACCAATATCGAAAATGGATAAGTACGATATGGTAAGTTAAAGAATTTCTTGTTTATTTTATTTGCATTTAAGACCAGACCATAGGTCAAGCTGGTTTAAATTTCTAATATTTAGAAATTTCAAATCCAGTTTTTACAAGTGTTGCTTTGTAATTAAAGTACGTAATGGATATGAAAGCTATTTTACGCTTATTCCGTCACAATTATTTAGTCATGTTTGTGTTGTGAGGTTATGACAAATGAGTGTGAAGAATAAAAAAACCTCATGACTTAAGAGGTATTTTATGTTGATGTTTTTTATTTTACTTAAAAAAGTTTTTCAACATATAATAATCTGTAGGGCTTTCAAACTAATTAACATCAAAGTATTTTTTAAGGATTATGCTAACTTCAATGCAGTAAATTTTAATAAATTTTACGTAAATATTCTGATTACTCACTAGAATCTCAAAAGTGAACAAATATTTACATTACTGTAATTAATAATCAATTAGAATGGTCATTGCAGTAATTATTTATCAGGGTTGCTAACCATACATCATTTTGCGTACAAATATGAGAATTCTGGTCTTCTGTACGGAAACACTACACATCTCATATAATTATGTAGGAGATTTTGTCAGATACTTCTATAACATGATTTTTCATTGCAACATTTTTATTTATTTTTGGCAACATATTGGAGCATAAATGGACGTAGTTACGCGAAAACGTTCCAACCCACAGCGACCCCATTTTGAGATAAACGCAATTTTGTGTTTTAGCGGTACACTTTTTCCCTGTAATTATTTCAGGCAAATACTATTGGTGTTACTGTGGAATGCCAAATTGGTTATTGAATGATATGCATATTTTTTGTAAATACATAATACAAGGGGCATATAAATAGGTAAAACGAGTTTGAAACGTTTTCGCTAAATTTAATTTTGTATGAACCTTGTTAAATAGCAATTATGCATAAACGTTCCAGAACGAATTCAAGTGTATTATTTTATAAATATATCTAAAATAAATATGTAAAATAATGAATAACAATGAGGAACATACAAAAACAACAAAAATTTGAAAATGTATTACAAAAAAAATAGAACGTGATCTTTTGAGCTTTGAACCTATGCCAATTTGCTGATATGGTTCCAAAAGTTATCAAAAACTTATATTATAAACATTCAATTTTCATCATCGTATTCTATGATCTCGAAGTCCGGAACTCCACCAAACCCATCAACATCATCAGTGCTTCTTCAGAACAGAAGGCAATCCACTTCCTGTGCACCTCTTCCTACCTCTCCTTCTACCAATACATAACAATGCCCAGTATCATTAGATGCACTATGGATACCACTATTGTAGAACTAAGTAAAAAAGTTAAACCTCTTCAAGTTTACAAAATGACAAAGACTGATTTTATAGTACAACTAAACTGGAAAAGAAGATTATCAATAGGAAGAAGTTTACAGACTCATCTAAAGTTAGTTGGCTACATACAAAAGAAATTAAGTTGGATAAAGATATGATTTTTTCTATTTTTATGCGGTCTACGATGGAAGACGATTTCAATGAGTTGAAAATTGATAAAAGAATAAAACGAGAACTGCAATACATAAAAGAATCTGATTTTTGCTTATTGTGGCCTAACGACAAACCGATTGCTCCAGCGAAATTAGTGGACTTACAATCCATGTACCACTACATACCCGAGGATTGCCTTCAATTTTATAGAACGCTTCAAAGTTCTGAAGAAGCACTGATGATGTTGATGGGTTTGGTGGAGTTCCGGACTTCGAGATCATAGAATACGATGATGAAAATTGAATGTTTATAATATAAGTTTTTGATAACTTTTGGAACCATATCAGCAAATTTTTGGCATAGGTTCTAAACTCAAAAGATCACGTTCTATTTTTTTGTAATACATTTTCAAATATTTTTTTTGTTGTTTTTGTATGTTCCTCATTGTTATTTATTATTTTACATATTTCTTTTTGGTTTATTTTTATAAAATAATACACTTAAATTCGTTTTGGAAAGTTTATGCATAATTGCTATTTAACAAGGTTCATACAAAATTAATTTAGCAAAAACATTTCAAACTCGTTTTACCTATTTATATGCCCCTTGTATTATGTATTTACAAAAAATATGCATATCATTCAATAATCAGTTTGGCATTCCATAGTTAAACCAATAGTATTTGCCTGAAATAATTACAGGGGAAAAGTGTGTAAATTGCGTTTATCTCAAATTGGGGTTGCTGTGGGTTGGATCATTTTCTCGTTACTACGTCCAAATATACCATAGTTATTTATTTTGGTAAAAAATATCTTTTTCTCTAGAACATACTTAATAGCAAAAATGGATCAAGTATATGTGGATTGTTTATAGCAAAAAATTAGAAAATAATATATTATAATAAAAGGTTTCAATTTATTTAGAACAGTGTTCGCAGCTTAAAAAAACAGTATGGATTAATCTAAAAGGTTTCAAATTACATGGAACATTTTTGCAGAAATAAAAAATGTATAAAGATTTTGCAAAAACGTTCCAACCCACATGGATCATTTAAGAAACCATTAAATGTGCGTTTTATGAATTTAGTATAATGTTCCAAGACAAGTGGAACATTATAACGATATGTTATTCTATTAAGAGTTTTTAACAATATGTTTCAGTATGCATGTAATGTTTTTACTTTATTTTGAGTACACGTCCTTGGCATAATGGTGGGTTGGAACATTTGGGTTAAACTTTATTGATGAAACTAACCTAAAAATACTAGCATCTTTGTGTGCACATGATGTAATATGTCAAAAATAGTACCCTGGTTATGGTAACTCATTTTCGAGTGACTTGTGGGTTGGAACGTTTTCGCGTAACTACGTCCAAATCATAAGTATCAAAACCAGTCTATGTTTATTATAATTTTCTTATATTAATATTTTCTTTAATTTGTTTGTTTTATTTATGTATGTTTTAAGTAGCCTTAGGCATTACACTCTATTATTTTCAATACATAAATTATAATTATTAAATATATTTTTAGTTACATACAAAAAGACCATGGTACAAATACATAACTGTAGAACCAACAATGTTTTTTTACATGATGGCCTTTATGGTAACAAATGTAATAGAGCAAACATTTTATGTGTTTCGTGCTTGCACTGTTGACCATGGATACAGTGAAGAGATCTGTTATGAAATAAATAAGCATGAAGAGATTAACAATGAAGTTCAGGTTGGTTCAGGTTTTTATATACCTTTAATATATATGATTGGATAATTTTATAAAAAAAATGAGACTATAATCACTATATTGCAGGTAGTTAGTAAGTTATGATTATATATTTTGATACATCAATAATGAAATAGGACCCTAACAATTAATAAATGACATGAGCTGCCTGCAACTATATCTTCATCGATTTCAGTTTTTATATTTTCTGTTTGTTGGTTAAAAAACAATCATTATCTAACTTTTCATCTTTTAAATGAGCCAGATTTTAATGAGTCAGACTGTGGTTTTTTATGACGACGAAAACAGGATGGTTTACTAATTAAATAGGCATAAAATGAATACCATCAAGTTAATAATACTATCTGCAATGTTCCAATACTGAGTTGCCTTATACATAATTTTAGTACATTTTATCCATTTTATTTACATATATCTACATAATACTCTCCACTTTTGATCTAAGTGATGGTTGTTAATTTCAGATCCATGATTGCAGGTTACAACATCAATATTTCATCAGTGGAATGGCTTAGCGAGCCACATTGTGCCTCTTCTCCTGGCATTTTTCTTGGGCTCATACAGTGATAGAAGAGGAAGAAAGTTTATTCTTCTTGCTGGCCTTATTGGGAAGCTTTACTTTTCAGCAATGATTACATTAAATACAGTTAAAGGTAAGGATCACACATTATGTATAAAAGAATATTGTATTTAAGTCGAACTGACTGACTGACAGACTGGCGCAACAGCTGATTTTGAATTGTCGCAATACTTTTGTTTAATAAAAAATATAAATCTTAGTAATTGTGCTCTAAAACCAATAATATCATTAATTAATGAATAAATACTAAGTGTTAATATACAGGCTGATTGGAAGATCAGTGCAAAGCTTTAAAAGAAAGCTAACAGAGACCATTTAGAAACATTTGAGCCATACTTGTCTTAGACAAAGTCTTTAGAATTTTATTTTTAATATTTTTTATCGATTTTGATGCAGAAAACACAGTTAGCTACAAATAATGGCTAACTGAAATGATACATGAATTCTTTTTGATTTTATTTGATTAAACTAACATTTGTAAAAGCAATCTAAGAAAATATATTTAAAACATTTGTATTCAGCAAACAATTATTTTACAGATTTTTGAAACATACGTAAATTTTTAAAATGGAAAAAAGCTGTTTATCTAAGGCTTAAGAAACACGGAGGGTGCTTTGTTTGTTCAAAGCTTTTTCAAAGCATGTTTAGTTATTGTACTTTTTATTAAGCAAAATTGCATAAACGATACCTGTTTATGCAATTTTGCTTAAAAATTGTTAAAACTAAGACCAGGGGGCCATTCGCCTGACGAAAATGCTATGGAAAACGCTAACGCTTTCGATTTCATTTTGTTATTTCTGACCGCCGAAGGTTTTCAAATACCTCACGCTCATTTTCTTTAATATTGTTATTACCAATGCAAAAGAAAAAAAAAGAGCGCGAGGCATTTGAAAACCTCAAGCGGCTGGAAATAACAAAATGAAATTGTAAGCGTTAGCGTTTTCCGAAGCATTTCCGTTAGGCGAATAGCCCCTAGAAATCCTAATTGAGGAAGTTTTTTTTATGTTTTAGATGAATATAATTCATGAAACAAAATTTCAACAGAAATCATTTATTTTTCGTGTTCAAAATGTACGCCGCGATTTCTAACATACGCACGGGCACATTGTCTTACTTCCGTTGTCGTTATTTACAACATCATCTGCTGTTTCGTCGTTTGAAATGCTGCATTTATTCTTTCTATTAATTGTTCTTTTGTGTTTATCTCCACATGAGTGTAAACAAGTTCCTTGGCCGACCCCACACGAAAAAGTCCATTGGAGTAAGGTCGTGTGACCGAGCAGGGGGCCTATCGCCTATCGGGATTGCTATGGCTATCGCTATCTCTTACGATTTCATTTTGTAATTTCTAACCGCCAAAGGTTTTCAAATGCCTCTCGTTGTTTTTTTCTTTGTATTGGTAATAACAATAATAATATAACAATGACATACATAGTCTGTTCTCAATTAGAAAACAGCCCTGAATGAACAACTTAACTTAAAAATAAGAACGTCCAAACGTAACACGTGAAGGAGCTCAAAACTAGATAGTTGAAGCTACAATCACTCACGGTTAAACGAAAACGATATCGAGGTAGGAGCGCCAAGCTATACAACTGAACACGGTGAATTGTCATGAATAACAAGTTAGCGTCTAATGACAAGCAAAGTTGTAACTTGACTAAGCATATGTTGTGACCTGTCGACACATGTGACGTCTCTTTAAAAATAATTAGTGATTGATCATTTGTAAAGAACTTCATTATCCTTTTATCTAAACCGACTTTCCAAAACATCAACCCTTCTACCTTTATTTTATTCTTTAAGCGCGTTACCTGTAAAAAGGTCATGTTTATTGCCATCGCGTCAATTGTATCGAGCTTTACATGAAGGGTCGTCATTTTTCTTAGAATTGAACTCTGTTATCATTTGTAACACAAAAGTTTGTGTCTTAAAGTAAAAACGTTGTTTTATTGATCTGCTTAAAATTTACTTTTTTGTTCTCAATTAGGTATGTAGGTCCTAGTCTCAATAATTTGTAAGCTATCCAAATTAATTATTCAAGATTATTTATTGTTGGTTCCGGTGCTCCAATATTCGAAACTGATCGAGAGGTCATCTTTCAGCAGGACGGGTGTCCAGCCCATTGGACTTTAAATGTAAGAGAGCATTTAAATAATTACTTCCCTGATAGCTGCATCGGCAGAAATGGCCCAATCTCTTGGCCAATCCCGATAGGCGATAGGCCCCCTGCTCGGTCGCCCGACAGTACTCCAATGGACTTTTTCGTGTGGGGTTGGGCCAAGGAACCAGTTTACACTCATGTGGAGATAAACACAAAATAACAATTAATAGAAAGAAAAAATACAGCATTTCAAACGATGAAACAGCAGATGATATTGAAAATAACGACAACGGAAGTAAGACAACGGGCCCGTGTGTGTGTGTTAGAAAACGCGGCGAACATTTTGAACACGCAAAATAAATGATTTCACAGTTGAAATTTTGTTTTAATTAATTCATGTAAAACATAAAAAAAATTAGGATTTCTGGTCTTAGTTTCAACAATTTATAAGCAAGTTGCAAACAATAACTAAACTAAACATGTGTTTAAAAAGCTGTCAACAAACAAAACACCCTCCATGTTTTTTAAGCCTTACATAAACAGCTTTTTTCCATTTTAAGAATATACGATAATTTCAAATATCTGTAACAAAATTGTTTGCTGATACAGATGTTTCAAACATTTTTTCTTAGATTGCTTTCACATTTGTTTAATTAAATAAAATCAAAAAGAATTCATTGATCATTTCAGTTAGCCATTATTTGCAACTAACTGTGTTCTTTTAGGTTTTCTGCATCAAAATCGATAAATAAAATTCTAAAGACTTCGTCTAAGACAAGTATGGCTCAAATGTTTCTAAATGGTCCATGTTAGCTTTCTTTTAAAGCTTTGCACTTATTTTCCGAACAGCCTGTATAAAAACGATTGTTAAGTGAGTGAAATTACATAAAAACAACTGTGACAGCTACCGGCTTTATTGTGAGTCATTGTCATCTGTTTTCAAGGTATTTTCGATATTTCAGTAAGTTATTTAGATAATATATATACAGATATCATACAACAGAAAAAACAAATTATGAATAAACTAGATAGTGATCATTGTGGCCAGTTGATTACATTTCCGTATCAGCTCAAGCAGGTGATAAAAACACATCACTGTTGGACCAAAATCTGCCAATCGTGTGGAACGTTTTAAAAATCAATTGGATAGAAAAATGTGTTATTTAAAATATAAAGACAGTCCAAATGATTGATATTTTTTTTAATATATTGTGCGCTGAATTTAAAAATTTACATATACTCAAAAAAATATGTGTTAATGATGCGATAACTTTAAGTGGGCTACGCCTGGAATTCACAAAAGTAGAAGAACACTTTATAATGAATGTAACTGTAACATTAGTGAAAAAATTAAATAGCATGTTCGCAACTATTCCAAATTGTTAAATCAAATTACTTAAGTTCAAAGATTAAGAACAGTAACGACAAAATCAAAATTACATGGAAACTGGAAAATCCAAAACTCGCGAAAATAATTATAACTTTAATATAAAAAAGTTACATCACTTATTGAATATGCTACAGCATTCGAAAATTTCTTTACTGATATTCCAGTTTCAATTACTAAACCTTTGAGATCTTCCCCCATTGCTGCCGAATCAATTTTTAGAGAAAGCGTGAAACTTTGTACTAGTCATTTTCATTTTAAACATGTTGACTTTAAAGATCTAATTAAATCGTATAACCAATTATATAAAAAGAAAACCACGGATCTGTGGGGAAATTCCGTTGATGTTTCTTAATTGGTAATTGAGACAATAGCTATTCTAGTTTGCATATATTATGATTGTGTTGACTGTGGTATTTATCCTGACCTCATGAAATACAGTAAAATGACTCCTTTGCATAAAACGGGAAGTATATCAAACCCCACAAACTTTAAACCAATTTCTGTGCTACCCACCTTTGGTAAAATTGTCGAAAAAATCATGTTAGATCAAATGCAATCACATTTTATTATACAATATACTTCACTGTAAACAATTTGGTTTTACACGGGGTCGTTTAACAACAGTAAGTAAAGTAACGTAAAGTGATTTATCAAAAATACTTGACATGTTCACAGAATATTTAGTTGTAAGTATATTTACTTTAAAAATAAAATAAAAAATTAAGGGTCCCCCTTGTTCATTTAACAAACGTGATTACATAGGTACGAAACCCTTCGTGCGCGTGCCGACTCGTACTTGGCCGGTTTTTTACGTACGGTAGCAACAGTGTCTACGCTTCTATGACTCATGAGATATAACCTGGGAACATATAAACTGACGGACAGCTGAAACTAAGCAAACTAAGCAAACGGAACCCCCGTTATCGCCTTTTGTGTAGGGAACCTTAAAAAGAAGCTAATCTGGAACTAGCTCAAGAGGTCGTCAGCAAGCGGTTACGCACGTGACTTAAAATCTGACTTGTACTAGTGACGTAATGTTATTTAAAGTATCTCAAATGATGATGAAATCGAATATGTTTTTGGTAGGCACTTTAAAGAAGAGGAGACTGATTAGAGCCAGACCGTCTTCTATTTGTAATGTCACGTGTCAATGTTTTCGAAATACTTTTCTGTAGATAGTAATAGGCTTAGCTTTTGGCAGCTTCTCTTTATTATTGCCTTTAAAGAAGATCAGAATATACTTCTGATCTGATCATGATTTTAACACACTGAAAATCTAGGCTAGATGTTATCTTAGAAAATCAAGCTAAATAAGATCTGAAATATACATGTTTGTAGCACACTGAAAATCTAGGCTAGGTGTATCTTGGAAAATCTAGCTAAACAAGATTTTGCTTATATATAGTAGTCCATATCTGATAAGGTATATACGAATTGTAAACAACTGAGTGAGAGTTTGCGTAAGATGTGACGATAAATATCTTCAGTTATAGATGGTTATAGTAAACAATCTTATTGTTGGATACACATCTTGTTAAATTAATTAATGGAAATTTAATTGAGTATAACAGTTGAATGCTGATATTACACTGCCGGACACATCTTTTGGCCCGCTTAGTGTTGTAAAGTTTAAACTATCTGTAGCAAAAATATAATTCAGTTAGGTTGAATAATATAATATTTTTAAAAGACATAAATTTAATAATTCAGCTTCAAAACTTTCACTCAATGTAACATTTATTTTTAGCTAGGAAGCGTCAAAACGATATACCTAGGCCAAAAGTTAAAATACTAGGTGGAACGATAGATGTGACCGGGAGTATATTTTTATTCAATCCATTTGTAATTACTAAGTGTAAGTTGTTGGTTATAGTCTCACTAAAGGAATTAGAAATGAGTAAAGATTTATCTTTACGCACATGAGATTTCCGTATCACTCTTATCTATACTAGGTAGGTACTAGATTTGTATTTTTGTTACTAGTAAACTCAAAGAGTACAGAACTGATTTTATATTATTTTTTCTTATTCCTGCCCTCCTAGTATGAGCACCGCGATATGTCAAATTACTATGGATTTTGAAAGTTAGACGCGATAAAAAACGTGATTTAATGTAAATTGTAGCGCTCATGTTTTACATTGTGCTTGCTTTATTTGTCTCCCATGAAAGACTGATAAACATATAACGCAGCAGCTGCTAACTTCCATGCAAATAGTAAAATACCAAGGGAATGCAAGTTTTAGTTAACTCTTATTCTCACAGACATTGGAATGCCACTGTTTCAAACAATATCTCGGACTCAAGTAATAATAACATGGTTGTCGCTATGGCAGTATAATGTGTTTATACTGTTGCACGTGTCGTTGGACTGTATCTAATGAACTGCTGTTTGGCGTCTTTTTATGTACTTACCTCGAAATCCACCGCGGTCATGAAATAAGAAGCTCACCTCCTTACTTAAGACTCGAAGTGCAATAAATTGAATGTTGATCAAAATGTAACATAAAACGTTGCAAGTGCAATAAAGAGAACCATTTTTTTGTGTGTGCAGCCGGCTCGAATTATAAGACGTGACAACGTCTTATAATTCGAGCCGGCTGCACACACGGAAAAACATGACTAATGCGGCGTTACCTCGCTCTTAGGCGTTCCATTTAAGGCTTCAGAGGCACAATCGGCCTCCGCGTTCGGCAGCGTTCGACATCTGTCTCTCTCCTACTTGAGTGAGCGATGCGCTTTCGTCAAGTATGAAGTGCAGTGAAAAGTGCACATTCATACTTGTAAAAACTATGTACATTGTAAAAAAACGTTGTAACGTTCAACTATCGTCAGTAAACCTAAATAATCGGTTGTCTGTATTTAAATATAAATACAGACAACCGATTTTTTCGGATTAATAGGCCTATTTTGAAATTTCTATACAATGTCGGTACCAAAATTGCACAACATATTTATTATGGTCTTCTATTAATAAAGTGGCACTTTGCAATTGACAATTGTACATTATTATGTTTTGTAATTGTTACAGTTGGCCAATTTTTAAGAGCCGTAAATAAGTTAATATTTTTTTAGAATTAGGTATATGTCTCACGCTGTGGTCTCATGGCATTGGCGCATGATGCTCTAATTTACTTACAAGGAATCAATGTCCTTGAAGCTATTTATATGCGAGTATATACCTACTAAAGTTGTAAAATTTCAGCATGGCCGCTTAATTACGTGATTTACACCGCAACCTTTCCAAGTGCGCTCACCGGTGCTGATCTGGCCATCTTCGCGGCCTGCTTCGCTTACATCGCCGACGTGTCTTCCGTAAAGAACAGAACCCTAAGGGTGGGCATTCTAGACGTAGTATACTTGTCAACTTTACCCACAGGAGTCGCTATAGGTATGCCTTTGTTTATAAATAATAATAAATAAATAAATATAAATATTTCCGACACTCACACCAATTAGCCTAGCCCCAAAGTAAGCACTATAAGGCTTGTGTTATGGGATGCTAGGGTAACGGATAGAATACATACACTGTACATATATAAGTATATTTATATAAATACATATTAAACATCCATGACTGGAGTACAAATGCTCGTATTCATCACACAAACATCTGCCCCCACCGGGATTCGAACCCGGGACCTCTCGAGTCGGCGACAGCCATGAAACCCGGCGTACAAACCACTCGGCCACGGAGGTCGTCGTTTATAACTCAGTTTTACGAAGTCACTTCTCATTATCATCTCACATCCTTAATTTATCAAAATCTGCCCTTAAATATCTGATGTAATCGGGATTAGGTCGCCCCAAAAAGCTTGTATCGTCTGTGTTTTTTCCCTTGGTATGGTTAGTTGACGTTATTACCTATAATATTATTTATTTCTATTATACTTAAAATTTTAGTATACTTCCCAAACCCACCATATTCCTTCAGGATCTGTAGTTTGGTTTAAACATTTATATTTATTTGTTTAAACCACTGTTTGGTTACATTCACTTCATATCTATGTTATATGTATGTAGATAGTTTTGATGATTGCAGCAAAGCTAACTGCTGTCTTTCGTAGTAATCTATTTCGGTCTTGTGAATTTATCAGAGAAAAGACTCTCGACGTTCGCGTTATTCTGGAATACTAAATACATATTCAGATACTTTCCGTAGTTCTCCAAACTGTTCCTCAGAAACGCATTGCTTGAAATATTGGAACCATAACGAGTTTAAGCTGTTATCTTTTTGAGAAGAATTAATTATTATGGGCTTTAGAAACGCAGAACTTTAATTAAAAAATATCCAGGACTTCACAGGACACCACAAAAACAGGTCATGTCCTGGAAAAACAGAATGGTTGGCAACCCTCTGGTAACTCATAAATTAGGTACCGACTCGTTTCATGAATTTCAATTGTTAATTAGAAATAACTCACTTTTAGACCTTAAAGGCGACTAGTAGAGTCGTTGGCAGTAATAAATAACAACTGATTACACTTGTGTGATGAATTACCTTAAAATATTATGTTTTATCTCTTTCTGAATGAATGAAATGAAGAGATCATTTCATTCATGTCGTGACCATCGCAGTAGACACATCACTTAACAACACCTTAGAGCAAGCGCACATTGAGCCATTAAACGCCTAGTGGCCGTCACTAGTAGCTTGTGGCAGCCACTCGATTACTCTCAAATCGATTGGTGGCTGCTTCTTGACTTAACCGAGCCACTAGTAGTCGTGTTTAGTGGCTCAATGTGCTCTTGCTCTTAAAAGCGCGGTATTCGATGTGTTTATGTGTCATAGCCTTGACTGTATTTTGACAATCGTCATACATATCTATGCGGAAGCACTCGTCTCATATTACTCTCCATTCAGTTAAAACGTGAGTGATAAAGATTTAATGGTTTTACAGATCATATGAGATGTGATAAATTGTTATCATCTTGGCAGTCTTGTGATCCTAATCAAAGTGTTAGTATTATTATTCTATTCGTATTAGTCTTGCGGCAATACAATTTACCTTGAGTATTTTTTTATAATAGGCCCTGCAAATAATCCCACCCTACCTGAGGTAGTGTACCTAAATACAAAAATAGCTGAATTTGCATAAAAATATACCATCCGAGCTATTTTGCCAGACTGACCCAGAAAGACCCCTACCCCGTGGAAACCCAGAATCTTAGAGATAGAAACAACACTACGAAAAGGCAGAGTTATTTCACTGCGGTCTTTGTAATGTAGTTGGCGCTTCACCACACTATCAACTGTCGCATTGCATTCTATGCCAATAATGGCCGGTAATTTTTAAAAATATCGCAAACCAGCTTAAACGATTGATAAATAACAAATCAGTCATTGTTATTTCTACGATTGAACCCAGTATATTGTTGACTTTAAAACAGCAATCAACTTTCAGGAAACCTTCTGTACAATAATGTGGTCAATAGGTCATTCACAGCGATGTTTGCTATCAACACATGTCTCATGGTTGTCGCGACGCTGCACTGCCTTATATTCTTAGAATGGCAGACCAGCCCCGCGCAGAAATCCCTTGAGGAAACCGGAGTCAAAAATCCTATAGCAGATTTCTTCGACTTGAAAAATATTAAGAGAACTTTCATTACATTAACTAAGAGGAGAAAAGAGAATAGAAGATTGTTCTTATGGTTCCTGTTGATATCCATGGCGTTTTATACATTCCAAAGAGGTGAGTCACTATAATGTTTATGATGCGTTTACCAGAGCCGTATGCTAGCTAGACTATAAGCAATGGATATAGGTATTAGTGATGTAACGAATTTTCGCATATTTTTGCATATTCGCATTCGCAAAATCTCTGCGAATATGAATATTAGAAAAAAAAACAAGGTGGTGTAGTAATATATCACGTGTATTTTCGTGATCCAATGATACTGTACATTAAATAATGTTCATGTATAAGTAAAAGTATTTCGCCTTTCATTCATTATTTTTATGTCACTCAAAAACAACCTGCAACTTTTCTGTTTTATTGTAGTCTTTAATTTTCTATAATACAATTAGATGATACTTATTACCTGTATTTATGAATATTAAAAAAAAATAAGATTCTTTGTAAGTATATAATAGGGGGCCGGGGGGAGGGTTTAGTCTTAAACTTCACCATGTATCACCAAAGGGGAGGAGGGGGTTAAAAATGCAAAAAAAAAATACATCACGTGATTAATGAACTTCCCCTTAAAGTACCTAAGATGAGACATGTATTACGTGTTGGTACAGAAATAATTTTTAATAGCTATTAAAATATTTTTTCAGATGAACGTCCAGTAATGTATCTGTACACATCGCTCGTGTTCCAGTGGGACACGAGCGCCTTCAGCCACTTCAGAACTTACCTCAGCACCGCGTACGTTATCGTCATGCTGTTTGGCATCCCGCTCATGACGAAAGTATTCAAGTGGAGAGACACTGTTAGTAATATTTTTTTAATTATAAAGTAATATGTAATGGATAGAATATATATAGGGTGAAATTGAATGTTTCTATGAAACTTCATGAGATTGTTGGGTTATGTGTATAAAGTATGCCTGTTTTTTTTTCGAATTTTTTTAAGTATATTTTTTTCATGTATCTATTTATAATTTGTGTATTTTTATGTCCTTTCCTCCTTTTGAGTAGTTATTCATTTTAAACAAACAAACTTACATATCCAGTGAAAAACAACTAATAAATAAGCACTTCTAAAAAACGGAAAAACATTAAAATTCCACCGCGGGTCAACGACCGACCGCGCCCGCCAGCCGTTGAGTGAGTAGGTACCTACCTCTACACAGAGCTCAGCTGACTCGTTTGATTCCACACAATACAATAAAATCGTCTTAGATGCCTTTATTGAAATTGAAATAATAAGCACAAATGTCATCTACTCTTAAGCAGAGAAAAACTTTAAAAGTTCATAATAATTTTGTCACGATTGGAAATAGGCAAATGTTAAACAAAAAGAAATACTTATTGCAGTTCAATACTTGGGTCAGAATGAAATTTATAACCAGGTATTCAAAAGTACTTACGAGACCGGCGATGTAGGTAGGTACAACGAAGAACGAGGAACATATTCATTTTTTCACTAGAACTTTTTATCAAATCAATCACACTGGTAGTACACAAATAGTTGTTTCTAATCAAAAAGTATTTACACTAGCAATAAAAAGAGACTTAAATTATTATCTGCAAAATTGTTGCTCTAAACCACAATTTTGCTGCAAACAAAGGTAGGCATGTTTGCGGACGTGTCTTTTCACCTTTTTTAAAGTGTCCCTATCACTACTCACTGCACAAAATGCAACTTCTATGGTTTGGGGACTCATTCGTAAACCAAACCTACTTCGTCACACTCGCGATAACAGTACACCATCTCTAAATATTCTTGGTTCGTATACCGAGGCATAATGAAATTATCACAGTGTATGTCACTAAGTCAAAAGATGTGCACGCCCACGCGCGATTGATATACTTGCGACTGCGTTTTGCATGCAATCAAAGCAAACCACCGCGTGCGGGGAAGAGGGGAGGTGGGCGGAATTCACATCATCAAAGACGCCGCAACCGGCGCTAGTTGCCAGCGTGCGGCGCGCCGCCCGCCCGTGCTTGCCGCAAAACAACATATTATTATGTGTGTGTGTGTGTGTGTGACTGTGGCTGTAATTAAATGTGTTGGGAATTTCATGACGTGGGCAAATCAGACACGAAGAGTTCCTTCCTTCACTAAGCTCGTAAGTTATACCGATTTGCTCTGTATAATTTTTCCCAATTTTAAATAAGCAGTTTGTGCTTAAGTTTTAATTAAACGAGGCAACTAACATTAACAATAAAAAAGAAGTTCTTACACTAACAGACAGGCTTTACCGATTTAAAATCGTGACAGTCATACTAACTTTATAGGATTTTTAATTGCTCTAACAGAAGATTGATTTTATTGATTAATTACCTGTGCTTTAAGAAATAATATTCAAAGGTATTGTGTATCAGTGAATAAATAATTATAATATAGCATCTAAGACTATTTTGCTGTAATGTTTTTAAATAGTGTGGATCAAAGCGGAGAGTAGGTAAGCGCCGAGTCATCTGTGCGTGTAGTAGGTACCTACACAGGCGGCCGCCGCGCCGGTCGTCGCCCCGACCGGCGCTGATCTCGACTGGAGGCATAATGAAGGCATTCATTAAGTTTCCGTTTTTTTAGTAGTGCTTATTTTAAGTTGCTTTATAACTTCTATGTAGACGTGTTTAAAATGAATAATTACTCATAAGGAAGAAATGACAAAAAAATAACCAAATAAAAAATTAAAAAACGAAAAATTTTATTTTAAAAAATCCGAAAAAAATCAGGCATACTCTATACACGTAACCCAACAATCTCACGAAGTTTCATAGAAACGTTCAATTTCACCGTGTATACTGTACATATATTAGTATATTTTTATAGAAATACATATTAAACATCCATGACTGGAGTACAAATGCTCGTATTCATAACACAAACATCTGCCTCCACCGGGATTTGAACCCGGGACCTCTCGAGTCGGCGACACCATGAAACCCGGCGTTCAAACCACTCGGCCACGTAGGTCGTCAAAAATAGGGTGGCACACAAGCATGTGGCACGCCTAAGGGGCTGTCCATTAATCACGTGAGGCTCGAAAGGGTGGCGAGGGGTTCTTAAAAAATCACGAAATATCACAAGGGGGGAAGGGGGTAATGTTCATGTATTGTATGTACAAAAAAGGTTTTCGCATTTCTTTCATTATTTTTGTCAGTCAAAAACAACCTGCAACCTTTCTGCCTTCCTCTAAGCGTTGTTATTGTAGTTTTTAATTTTCTATAATAAAATTAGATGATACTTATACCTGTATTTATAATTATTTAAAAAAAAATATAAGATTCTTTGTAGGTACTTAAAATACACGTTATGTGTAGCTTCGGGGACTGGTTAGGTTTAAGACTAGACCCTCCCCGGCATAGGGGAGAGGGTCTAGTTAGTTAAACCTAACCAGTCCCCGAAGCATGAGCACCACAATTGACATTATGTCACGTTTTATATCGCGCTTAACTGTCAAACTCCATAGTAATTTGACAATTGAGCGTGATAAAAATGAGCTATTATATACATGTATCACCAAGGGGAGGAGGGGTTAAAAAAATGCAAAAAAAAACATCACGTGATTAATGGACGGCCTCTAATGGTAAGCGGCCACCATAGCCTGTAGACGCTTGCTATACAAAAACTATCACTCGGGCCATTGCTGCCTACCCTGACCCCTTGGAGCCCTGGAATCTTACACACCGACAGAAACCAACAGCACCAAAAAGCAATGTTATTTTACTGTGGTCTTTGTAATGTGGAGGTTATTTCCCAAGTCAGGCTCCAATTCGAGCAAAAAATCCGCTATACCCTAACTCTCAATCAAACTCAAAATCAATAATATCAATATAACGTCTAACATAACACTCGATCTTTTTTATTTTCAGCAATCGATGGTTAGTTATAAGTACTTACTTAATTTCATTATTAGGGTTCCATAGTAAGATGACCAGAGTAGGAATAGGTTTTGGGCAAATATATACAAAACTTGTTAACGGAATTGTCAAAACGAGACAAAAAAAAATATATTAAACTGCTAAATTTTGCTAGAAAAATAAGTCCGTTGCTAGAAATCGGGGTTAAATCAGTATATGTATCAGGCTGGAATTGAACCCAGCAGATTTCAGTTAAATGAAAAAGGTGCTTTTTATGTTAAACCATCTCCCACCCGCGACTTCTGTCATAGTTAGCTTTTTGTGAATCCCACAGGAACCTGAACTTTTTCCGGGATACAAAGTATCCTATGTCTCATCTAGGTAATAAACTATATGTGTACCGAATTACATCCAAATCTGTGTAGCCATTTTAACGTGATTGTGACATAGAAACGTTCCAATTTAAATATTACTAGCGGCCGCCCGCGAGTTGTCCGCGTTAACTTAGGTTTTTTGAGAATCTCACAAGAACTTATATTTTATCCGGTATAAAAATTATCCTACGTCTCAATCACCTGAATTGAGCCCATCCAAATCCGTTCAGTAGTTGTTGCGTGATTGAGTAACAAACAAAATTACTTGCATTCTTAATAGTTAGGATAGTATGGCAAGCAGCCGCCCAAGATTTTCCGGGATAAAAAGCATCCTATGTCCAGTAATTATGTAAGTATCCGGGTCATAAACTATATCCATACCAAATTTCATCCAAATCCCTTCATCAGTTTTTGCGTCATTGAGTAACAAACATGCAAACTTTCACATTTATGATATTAATATACTAGGATTACTCAACTTGTTCATGTTTTTCGATAGTGTTAGTTCTTTCTAGCCTTAAAACCTCAGTTTTCACCAATATAAGCAAGGTTTAATTGTTTTCACAGGAACCAGCTAGGCAAATACAGAACAATAAATCCAATGAGTCCAATGAATGTCGCTAAAATTTTAATGAAATTTTATACACAGACAACAAATAACCACGAAAAAAATTTAATTTATTTAAATTATAGAATCATATAAGATAACTCATGTTTTGCGTTTCCCTACACCAGACGATCATAATGTTCGGCGCCGCAGCTCATATATCCGGGCACTTATTCGACGCGCACGCGACATACGATAAACTTATGTACGTGGGTGCTACGGCGGCCGCTTTAGCTTCCTGCGTGACACCGCTCATAAGTTCCTACTTATAAATGTGTAAGTTTATATGACTGTTACTCAATCATGCAAAAACGGCTAAACGGATTTGGATGAAATTTTACACACAGATAAATTATAACTTGGAAAGAGACAGAATACTAATCGCGGAAAAATGTTCGGTTATTGGCGGATTTTCTAAAAACAAAAGTAATACGGTCGAAGTCGCGGGCACCCACTACTTTATTTAAGATAAATCATGTTTTGGGTTTTCCTACAACAGACGATTATAATGTTGGGCGCCGCAGCTCATATATCCGGGCATTTGTTCTACGCGCACGCGACATACGATAAACTGATGTACGTGGGTGCTACGGCGGCCGCTCTAGGTCCCTGCGTGGCACCGCTCATACGATCCATGACTTCTAAGGTGTTGCCAGCATCGGAAAGAGGTACTTTATAATTTGTATCATGCAACATTTTCAGCATTTTCCTTTTTATAGATAACCTTATTTCTCCAATAGTCTACACCTTAATAAGCCGCTGAGAACTAATTGAGCAATTATTCACACTTACATACATTAAACATCAGAATTTAGTATTAATATTAGAAAGATTGTAAGTAGCAAGTTTGTTTGTTTATAGTAAACTCTGGAATTACAGACCCGATTTTGAAAATTCTTATACCAGTAGAAAGCTATATTTTTGACTACATTTTATAGCGTTAAATATCATCTGTGCTAAGCTTGTATTTTATTACAATTTAGACAATTAGTCCGTATCAAACGTATTGAGAGAAAAAGTAAACAAAGAGATGGGTAACCCAGATCATAGTTATACACCGTGAATTTTGCGTAACCTGAGAAACTTAAAAAAAGTGAATATAAAAATAGTGCGAACATAAACAGTAAACTTACACCCCGATACATAAATGTTGATTTATATTGTTTACAAAATATCCTAAAACGGCGCAAAGGGTCTAGCCGGATAAGTATTACAAGTCGACCCCCAATTGGGAACCTATATTAAAACTTTTATTTTAAAATCGACTTGATGTACAAACACTATTTATGTACATTTCGCGACCAGCTTCCGTTTTGTCCTTGAGATATGGAAAAAAATAACCATATGCATGACTATTATTCAAAGTGATATATCTGAAAAACTAATTAAGCTAGAGAAATTAAACCAACGCGAACCTTAAGGTTTTATTACAGAGTACATTATATTTAATATATATATATATATAATTTCTGACAGGTAAAATTGTTAAGGTTTCATAATTGGATCATTAGAAAGTTAGCGAGGAGATATATTCTAAAAAATATAATTTAAGAAAAAGTTTTTTTTGCAAAATTATAATTTAATTAAATCTTAGTCTGAAGTTGCTAGTAAAGTTTCTCAGGTAACTCAAATTCACGGTGTATAGTATCGAAATAAAATGGTCAATTCACTCATAACATTTTGTTAAAATTTACGAAAGCCATTTGACTCGAAATTTATAAGCATGCTAATGAATACTGAAAATGTTTTGTTGTACTTTAGAAAAATCATTGGAGTGATTTTCAATTAAATTTTAGTGATTCTATTGATCACCTCATAAACATGTTAAACTTTTTTGTCGACAGGTGTGGCGTATGCATTTCTATCAGTAATGGAGAATGCTGTGGCGATGTTCGCTTCCGTCATTTACACTCAACTATACAAAGCCACAATCAATACCGAGAATATCAACTCGATCTTCTACCTCACGATGATTACACAAGCCTTTGTATTTTTGCTAGCACTGTAAGTTACTACATAAAATAATTTGTCTTGACCCTTACCCAGTAAACTACAAGTCAGATATTATGATTATTTAAATGAATGTCAATTGTTTCCTCTTTACAATTGTGTTGAATAAAAATTGTATTCTTAACTGTTTGTATGTATTGTATTTTACTGGAGTTAGAAAAACAGAATTATAAGTTACCTTTCTTATTTTCCAGGACAATGGAGCTTCTTCTAAAAGGTAAAAGCTTAGAAGCTTTATCTGAAGAAAAACATATAACAGATACATCATGATATCATTTATTTCGTTTAAAATGAAACATAAATTAAGATATTGTTGAACTCCACTATTGTTAAAACTATTTAAATTTCTTATTGATCGCCAATTAAACATTGACACAACAATCAAAATATTATATAAAATCAATAAATTACAATCCAAGATTTTAATCATACAAATCAAATTACAATTTAAAAATACTAATAATTTATAATAACATAAATAATAAAACTGCAATAAAAAAAATATGAATTATAAAAGTTATATCGCATACATTTATTCCTGAAGTTGCTAATGTCAAACATGAAGAAATTCAAATCCCTGGTCTTGCTCACGCTACTCCGACCTCTATATGACTAAATATTTTTTCATATTGCATTTTGACCTATAGACCAGGGTCGATAATTTAAAAAATGGTAAAAAGTGAAAAAAAATTATAGTAGTAGGTTTTTTGTTTGTTGAAATCTCTACTTTCTGATGGTATTAAAAAAAATATGCACTACTATGGTAAATGTTCTCAGAAAATGCAAATTAATAATGAAAAAATCTCGAATCCGAATTTTTTTTTAATCATTATGTATAATTTTGAGCTATTTCGAGTAATTAAAGTGTAAGTCCTGGCCTCAGATCGCCCGTAATTTGTTTTTCCTTTTTTTTTTTTTGTTATATTCTCTACCTTTTCCAATGGGTTTCATCCTACTATATTTTTTTTGGTCTCTAAAATTATCAACCCTGGTCTACTAAGTTTCCACGAGAATATAGTTAATATATCTTAAATGGCACAGGATAAAGTATTATAAACGGCACACAATAAAATATAGGGTTTAAGCTAATACAAAAGAAAGGATGCTATGTGAGTCAATGAAGTAGAAATGATGATAGTGTTTGCATTAGTTCAGAAGCAGAAAGTATGCTATTCGCTAGTGTGTAAAAGAAAAACAAGCCCAGCATGCAACCATATGAAAGCGAATATTAATATATCTCAATCTCTTCTGGAAATTTTAAAGTATCTTACCCAGATTACATGTGGCATAGAAATCGATTTTTTATGCTTTCCAGTCTTTTTTATTTACATATATTATAAATGGATTCCAGATAAAAAACAGCTCAGCAGTTCTAAAACGCTGCGTACAAATGATTTCAACAAAAGCAACATAAGACTTGAAATATACAATCACGCAAAACGAAACCAAAGTTCTTAAATCCTCTACAGCAAATTTATCGAAGTGAATGTTAAAGCTTTATTTGCTGTAGTGCATATTTTGTGTCGATGTCGATAGGAATTTCATATCAAGATTCGTTACTATGAATTTTATTAAATAAAAAGTAAAAGTGGAACAGGCACTGCTTAAATTGGTGTTTCAGAACCTTTTAAACTACAAATTGCACAATATAAAAACAAAAGCTTTCAGACATGAAACAATGTACATACATTAAAACTAAAAATAATAAGAAAAAAATAAAAGAATATCTCAACCAAAATATGACATTTATTTCAAAACGAAGCATGATTTTACAACAATACAAATATTAATTATGACATTTAAAAGCTCTCCTCTCCTGTCCTTATTGGACAGGCCTTGCCCACAGAGTAGAGTTCAATTTATACCGCTGCGGAAGAAGCGAATTTTGGCAACGAAATTGTACATAGCTTAATAAACTTTATGTCAATTTTATTAGTAAGATGCAAACTAAATACGAGCCAAAATAAAAGGTTGCAGACTCCTCGAGAATTACCCTAGCTCGTACTTAGTTTGTACGTATTATTGACATTCAAGATGATTATGCTGTGCACAATTTCGTTAAAAAATTCGTTTCCATTCCACAGCGATGTTAATTGAGGAATAGCAGCGACGCGACGGTTTACGGGTATACCAGAGCTGTTCCAAACCTACGCTTCAGGTGCAACAAATGTCAAAAATTAATGTTTTGACATAAGTTCTAGTACATTTAACGTCAAAATCGAAACGTCTGGTAAAAAGTTGCAATCAGAGCGTAGGTTTGGAATGCAGCCCAGTATCGCTTGAAAAGATCCCACGGTGTCGCGAAGAGGCGGCCGCGTGACTACTTCGAGATTTTCAAACGATACTAAAATTAGTCTTTAAAGTGTGTAGATAAAGTTTAAAAGTGTATTACACCTAAAAGTCGCTGCCATTCCGGTGTAAATCGGCCATAAATGAGAACGACTATGTCATACACACGACTTATAAATAACGTCGGAGTATATTTCAACTACCATTGAGCATTTACATGAGTGACAGTCATTACAATCGCTAAGGAATATAATCACAATAAATCACACAAAAGCTTTCAGTATTGCTAACAAAATCCCGTAAAAACATCGAATTAATAAAAATAGAAGAAAAGTACTTATTGACAACTTCATAATAATATGATAGTTGAGTTGCCCCCAACATTTGAGTAAATAACTTAAGTCTATGGCATGCTGATCACTTGTTTCTTCTTTCCCTGTTCGTTTCCTATTATATTCTCCCCAAATCTTTCATTCCCTATACGAGCTTATTATTGATAAACATAATGAGGGTTTTCTGGAATGACGGGTACCAGATGGCAGCACTGGGCCGAAAGGTTTACTCATCCGTCAAATCACGTATGTCTCCATAGTCTATGGATCAATTTATATTCTCGTTCTTTAAATTCGTGACCTTGTGTCTCAGTGGCGCCTACTGGGGACGAAAATTTTCCATTGAATTGAAATACCCTCATTGAATTGACTTAACTACAATATATAAATGAAAACCCCAAAAGATCCTATCGTACGGAACAGATTACTAGCATAATGTGAAAACAAAAGACATTAGAAATAGGTATTAGATTATTGATCATGTTAACATGAGAAGTGTTTATTATTGAAAATAAATAATGAATTTGTTAAATCATTGTGAAGTTTTTTTCATTACATTTCCATTAAGCTACAAGACATCATACTGTGCTTAGGTCAGCAAAAGAAAATTCACTTATATTTACAAATTTTGTGACAAATTTAGCATCTCAGTCAATATTTACAAATTTTGTGACAAAGGAGATTGCTCAGCTTCCATACATGTTTGGCCTAAAGACCAATAATCATGAAAAATTGTTTCCTAGATTCGAAATTATATATAAATTACTGTAGAAACGAATATTATTGACGGACACCCCTGAGAACTTCTATAAACTATATACACTGAACATATTAAAATAATAAAAAACAAATAAGTTACATAGTAAACTAGGGAAATCAAGCCAAGTACCGAAATTATGGATTAGATTCAGGTATATAGAGCATGTAGATTAACAGATAGTTGCCTGTTTTTAAAGTTAATGCATAAGAGTAACTTTTAAAATCAGGTGTCATTTCCGGTTATAATAAGGTACTCTGTGACAGAAACTGTGTGATGCTTGTGAATGAGCCACAGATTAGAGAAAATTTTTAAACTCTCGTTAACCAAATAAAGCTAAGAGATTTAGGTTCTATAGCCATATATTCAGTAGCTTCATTATTTTTGTTATGTTTTTAAGATAACTATATTTTAGATTTTTAGTGTATCACACCTTATAATTTTATTTATTTATTAATTTATAGTCAGGGAACGTAGGCCCATAGATAGATACCTTAAAGTCTAACATATAGTATACAGATTATAATGTGTTTATGTGGAGGTGTTTGGCGAAAAATGTATGGCAATAGACTTTATGATGTCGCCTACCATCTATAATAATTGTCTAGGCACATTTGCATCTAGTAAAAATGATAATATAGTTGTGGATATTGATACAGTGTAATAAACAAAATGATTTATTTTATCGATCTTTACATAATAGATTTGTTTTTATGTTATATAAACAACTTCGATGAGTCTTTGGCTGAATGTTACTACACCCATAGCCATTAAAAATGATTCGTATGTTTTCCAAACCGGTAAAATTAAAAGTCCTTTTTAAAGTAAATATATTATACAAAGGTGTCCGTTGAAATCTAATGACTGTAAATTAAATTATAAATTACGCCAAGAATTACCGTGTATGACAATATTTTTTGTGCATTTAGGCCAATTTGAGCAATCTCCTTTAACATCTCAGTCATTTAATACAATTAAGTTTTTATAAATCGACTGGACAAACTCCATCCCAGCACCCTCCACACCCAAATTAGGCACTATCATAGCTACCGAGTGTGTGCGTATCTTTAATAAAAAAATAAAAGAAAATTAAAATATGCCTTTGATAGATTGCATGTCTTCACTTTTTATATAAATAAAGTGGACAAAGCACTTAAAAATATTTACCTACTATCAGAAAATCCTATTGATAAATGGCCTTAGGGCTTAATCTATATAGACGTGGATATAGAGGTGCTTAACAATACACCAACATTAGCTACATAAAATACATAAATTCATACTGGTGGATACTCGACGAGTACTATTGCTAATGCTTCAAATAAGTCATAGTTTAATCTCCCTCCCAGGTAACTTGAATGAATTTTATTATTATTACCATATTCACGGCTATATAATTCTTTGGTTGATAAGACGACCCATTTCAGGGTAGATTTGACAGAACAAAAACAATATGTTTAATATTTTAATCAACACACCACACATTTGTGAACAATCAACATATTTTTCTCAAAGTAATCTCTACTACGTTGTTAATAGCGAAATATTTGTCTTGTCATAATTATATAATGTAGTCTACAATATTCATAAAATAGATACCATACGCGCATGTGCTAAGTTTTTGATTAAATCCGGTATCGTTTATATAAATTAGATTTTAGCTCTCCAAATAATTTATATCTGTTTACGGGATAAAACCAAAAACCCACAATCATCACTATTCTAACAGAAAAAAATCGCTAAATGCAAACTAAAAATCAAAAAGCAATAAAGTCGTTGAAATATTTCTTATACAGAACATGCATTTATGTTTCATGATAGCTTCGCTCACCGCACAGCATATTAATTAAATGGCTACATATTATTCCGATACACTGGAAATATAATGTCCGTTGCAATGTATTTTCAATACAATAACATTAGAGCTCGCCGCAGACGCAAGTATAAGTTGTTAGGCTGGGGTTATTGATCCGGTACGTTCAGCCGCATTCTGATGATGTTGAAAGCGACGAGGGAATCGAACAGGCGACGAAAAGTGAAGAGAGATGTGATCGATCCAATCCAGTATATAGCCGTCAGTGATAGTTTCCGGCCGAGGAACCAGTTCGGGCATTCGGCCAGGATTAGGTCCCTTGGTGTTCTGTGCGTGAACATTCGTACCAAGCACTCGGTCCAAGGGAGTCAAGGGAGTCCGACCCAGTCAGCCAAGTACTGCTGGATTTCGACGCGAGCCTCTTTAAGCGAGGGCAAGTCGCTGTCGGCCGGCGGGTACATGTTAGCGCAATGGGCTGTCCCTGGAAATATATAAAAAAAGATTTTGGAAGTCTAACCCGTATTCAGAGCCATGAATAAACTGATTAAAGCTAGTGATGTCACTTTCTTTGTGATAATATTAGAATACTAGCGGCCCGTCCCGGTTTCACACGGGTCTATGATAAAATACTATGTAAATATAATGAATCAGCATTTATATCTAGAATACAAAGAAAAATTAACAACAAATAAACAAAAGGAAACAGTGGAAGAGCTTTTCACTATATAACGAAAAAACAATTTTACAAAAGCTACACAAACAAATTTGAAGGACCTAAATTCAATGAAAGAAAATTCAGTTCCACACGCATCGCTTAGGGAACCTTGGTTTTCATTCTACGGCATTCAATTTTCGAATACTGCTTACGTCACGTTCTATTGTGTCTTGCGCTTGTTCTTTTTTTTTTAATATTGTATTGGTTCTGAAATGAGAAAGTCTGAAGCCACTTTTTTATAATTATTTATATAGGTATGGAGCATTACAATGTCTCCATCCGTATATTGAATATCTATAGAAATACCTACACAATTAAACAATTTTTTTTTGGACCATCATCATACAAAAATTCATACAACCCTAAATTTCACCCTTCTACCACCAACCCCTATTTTTTATTCCGGTACGAAGTTCGCTGGGACAGCTAGTACTCTATAAAATCAGCTGTTTGCAGTCATTTCGCCAAATGGATTGTTTCCAAGGACGCCTTGAACAGCCGCGTCTGTTGCTAGGTGCCCGCTTCTTCACAGCCAATAGGAAGCTCGAATTGTGACGGCACCCTAGCAACCTTGATGGGCGTGTTAAATAATGAAATTGACATTTGAAATTTGTTATTTTTTTTTTATGTTTTTAGCTTGAATGTCTTTGAAGTGAAAACTTCTTTAGCGGCGTTGTACACTTTTTTGTATGGGTAAAAAATAGACTTGCAACGAATATTCGGTTACTATTCGGTATTCGGCATATTCGGCTGCTTTTATTATATTCGGCCGAATACCGAATACTTAAATAATATATTTTGTCATAGAGAAATAATTAGTAAAATGAAAAATTAAAATCGATTAATTACGTATATATTCATATTTTCATTTCTGTTATATAATCATTTAAGTAGTCATTGGTACATAACACGGGTACATAATCATCTTCTGAATTGGAAAAATGGAGGATTCTGTATTTGAATTATTGTGGTACCTAATCAAAATTTAGAAGGGTAAGGTTCTCATTTCTTTTATAATCATTTATTAAGTAGTCATTTGTACATAAAACAGGTACATAATTTATCATTTTCTGTTTTTAACAAGTTAACAGTTTTAATTCATTCAGTCATGTGATGAATAGTAGCAATAATTTAAAGTTTACGCGCCGTTTTTGCCATATCTTAAAAGTTGGTTTTGTCATCATTGGAGGACGGCAGATAAGAACAAAACCTTAGACGAAGAAAAGTATAGACGGTGGATAGCTCCATTTCATTTGCACAAGAAAGGGATATAGTATTCAGTTATTATATGTAACAGAAAAGGACAAAGCTATACTATTTCCGTCTCTCAGTGCGTGCCAGTTTTTTCAAGGCCAGCAACTTATGTAGCTCAACAAACTTTGACAGTTATTTCGTCTTTGTGAAATCGTAAGTTTATTTTGGCAGTTTTCTACATCATTTATAAATATATTTGCTTGCATAGATTGTTTCAAAGCCGTGATAAACCTATAATACAATGCGCTGTAGTGTACTTAACTGTAAAAGTGATAGTGAGCGGAAAATACCAGGATTGTCCTTTCATGCGTAAGTTTGAAGTTTTCTTAAATGTTTTAGTTTTTATAACAATGTACTGTGTGTTAACTGTTTTATTTAAGTGACATAGTATCAGTTTTTGTCATAATAAGAGACTTAAAAGACTTAAAATCGCGATTCATAATAATGTTTTTATCATAACCTTAAATTCAGTGTTACTAGTATCGGGCCGTGCAAATTCCCATTTGTCCATCACAAATCTTATCATAATAATTTGTAAAACCTAGATTCATATTCAGTTATAGTGCGACAATGATTTATACAATAGTAATTAGATAAATAATGTAAGGTAATAAATATTGACAAGATAATACAGATACAGAATCAAAAATAGAAGCAGATACCTATTGAATTATTTGGTTTAATAATTTCAATAAGTAATGTAATTTTATCTTATATTACAGTTTCCCGCATAACCCTAATATTCGAAAAAAATGGATTGCTGCCTGTGGTCGAAATGAATGGGTTCCAAAAAAGAGTTCCAAAATTTGCAGCAGACATTTTGATGCGGACCACATATTAAGAAAAGGAAGATATACTTACATTCATCCTGAAGCTTTTCCAGTTATTATGGTGAGAGAAACATTTATAAACATTTGATTCTTATTGTATGGTTTCCCTTTATAATATAATTAAGGGTTCAGTCGTTTCGGAAATAAAGGTAATACTGATGGTACGGAACCCTTAGTGCACAAGTCTGACTCGCACTTGGCCGATGTTTTATTATATGGTAACATTTCACAATTATTTCGTCTCAACTTAAATTATACAGTGAAGTTATGTTTTTTTTGTTTTTCAGCTTGGAGATGACGAAACTTCTAAAAAGTCATCTGAACCCATGCCATCTACATCTGCAGTAATAGCGTTGACGACCATCACAGATAGTCACCCTGTGTCTACTGATGTGTTGCAATGCGATACACAATCTGAGCCTGTAAGTGTCTTCTTTCATTAATCCTTCAATCCTTCGGTCTGCCAGAGGTAAACTAACAAAAAATAAATTATGTAAAGTTCTTGCCCTATAATACTTAAAATATATATATAAATGTGATATAAGAAAATTTCTATGCTATTAATTAACATTATAGCAGGGATTAAATCCTTTTTTAGACGTATTTTTTTAGAAGCTTTATGTTGTCATTTTTATATGTATGAAGGCCCAAAATTACACCTGGATTCCTGATAATAATAAATATTTTTCAGCTTGACGATATGGAAAATCTTAATAAACGCATGAAATCTGCAACTACCGTGATACCGTTGGCGACCATCACAGAAAATTACCCTGCAGCTACTGACGTGATGCAATGCTCTACAAAATCTTTGCCTGTAAGTTTCTCTTTACAATAAGATACATACATATCATCACGCCTATAACTCCCGACGCGGTAGGCAGAGGTGTTCTTCTATTACAGGTATTTCTATACCCAAGCTTCACCGCAGGTGTTACCTGCAGTACCTACCTACAGCCCTATATAATAGGTGGCGAGCCTATTGACATTCACCGGGCACTCCCCTTCTATTAATTATTGTTATGTAGTAAACATCTAGCAGTTAAATGCTTCAAATAAAAATATAATAAATGAAATAAGTACTTCTTTTAATATAATAATTTTTTTTAGGAAAAGTCACCTGAATTCACACCAAGAACTTTGAAAAAAAAATGGAAAAATGAAGAAAAGCGATCTAAAGGAAGAATAAAAAAATTAAGGGCGCTTCGAGAAAAATCGCGAAGGTTGAATAAGAAAGTGGCAAATTTAGAAAATATTCTAACAGAATTAAAGTCAAGATCACTTGTTAGTGAAGAAGATTGCAATTTAATTGGATCAGTTGAATGCGTCAACAAAGACTTCTTGAAAAAAATTATTAGCCCTGGTCCTGCTAATTCTAAGTATTCTCCAGCTCTCCGAAAATTTGCGCTTTGCTTGCATTATATAAGCCCGAGGGCATACAACTTTGTAAGGAATTCATTCAATTCTTGTTTACCACATCCATTTACTTTACGTACATGGTATAAGAGTTTTGACGGTAGCCCAGGATTTACGGATGAATCACTTGAATGTATTAAGTTATTAGTTAAGCGTGCTAAAGATAAAACAATTTATTGCGCTCTATCTCTGGATGAAATGGCGATTCGGAAACATGTTCAGTGGGACGGTAAGCAATGCGTGGGATTAGTAAATTTTGGAGAAGTGTTAGATGGACATAATGTTGCTGTTGCTAGGGAAGCACTAGTATTTATGGTCACCGCTGTAAACGATAGTTGGAAAATTCCAGTGGGCTATTTCTTGGTGGATGGTTGTACAGGGGCACAAAAGGCAAATTTGGTAAAACAATGTGTGGAACTTTTAATTTCATGTGGAGTTAATATAATTTCACTGACGTTTGACGGTTGTCCTGCCAATTTTTCTATGGCCAAATGCCTTTATTGTCTTTTGGATCCTTTAGATTTGAATAATCTTAAAACTTCTTTTACCATTAAGAATCAAGAAATCTCAATTTTTCCCGATCCAGCACATATGCTGAAATTAGTAAGAAATACCCTTGGAGAAAAAAATGAGCTTACCAACTTAATTGGTCAAAAAATATCTTGGCAATTTATTGTTAATCTTCATAATTTACAAAATAATGAAGGCCTTCATTTGGCTAATCGACTCCGAAACCAACATATAAATTTTGCAAAACAAATTATGAAAGTAAAATTGGCAGCCCAAACGTTCAGTAATTCTGTAGCTGAATCTATAGAATTTTGTCGAAAAGATTTAGGATTGGCAGATTTTGTTGATTCAGAAGCTACCGTAGAATTTATAAAAAATATTAATAGCATATTTGATATTTTAAATAGCAGAAACTTCCATACATTTGATTTCAAGAAACCTATGAATAATAAGAACTACCCTGACATTGAAATGTTCTTGAATGAAATGGAAAATTATATAGTTGGATTGAAATTAAAAGATCAACCAATATTACAGACTAATAGAAAAGTAGGGTTTTTTGGATTCTATATTTGTATTAAGAGTCTTAAAAATGTTTACAAAAATTTAATCGCTTCCAAGATTTTGAACTTTGTGCCCTTGTACAAAATGAGCCAGGATCACCTGGAATGCTTTTTTAGCTCTATTCGTGCTAAAGGTGGATTTAACAATAACCCAACAGCTATGCAATTTAAAGGCGCATATAAAAGACTAGTTATACATGGGGAAATAAAACATATTACATCAGGAAATTGCATCCCACTAGAAGACATAAAAATTTTAACTTTCAGCGAAATGCGGTACGAAAATAAAATTAATTTATTTACGCATACAGCTGAATCGTTTGATAATTTCGAGTCAGTAGAAAGTTTACCAGCTGTCGATAGTGACCATGACTACTTGTCAGACCCCTCTAGGCTTTCTTTGTACACACAAGAAGTCATTGCGTACATAGCCGGATTCGTTGTAAAAAAGTTGAAAAAAGTAATTAAATGTGAGGAATGCCTCCTAACTTTAATCTCTAATAAGTATGATGGATTTATTGCCAAAAAAGATAAAGGAGGGTTGATCTATCCATCGAGGAGCGTAATCAAAATATGCGAATGTGCTGAAAAAATATTTAGATTGCGTTCACATGAAGGTATCAGCTTTTACAATGAGAAAAACTTACTGCAGAAATTAATACTTTCATGTTTTAAGGACTGTTTAAATGACATTTATATATTTGAAAAACTTCACAATAATGATGACCAAACACTGATTGGAAATCATAGAATAATGCTTTTGAAAGCAGTCGCCATGAATTACTTTGAAGTAAGGATTCACTATAGTACCAAACAGTTTTTTGCACCCAGCGATAGGATTCGTAATATACATAATAAACTAGTGTTATTCAAAGGGCAATAAATGATTCTCTCTGTTCTCTGTGATCTTGTAGAGTATGTTTACATTAATAAAAATGTTGATTGTGATTCAGGTAATGTTTTTATTTTGGACCCTTGATTTGTTGTAGCTTTCGAGGATATAAATTTTAAGAGCGTTGATAATTATAATGAACCATTGATAAAAATGTACCATCGATCTCGTAATCCGATCGTATAACGAGCCTTTTAACTACCTACTCGGCTTGATAACTACCTAGAAGAATATTTATATATATTTCAATCGAATATAGTATAATATATATATTACTAGCTGCGCCCTGCGGTTTCAACCGCATAAGTGTCGATCGCGTAAGAATATCGGGATAAAAAGTCTATATGTTAATCCAGGGTGTCAGATACCTCCATACAAAATTTTATCAAAATTGGTCCAGCCGTTTGAGCGTGAAGAAGTAACAAACATATAAACACACACGAACACTAATAAACTTTCGCCTTTATAATATTCATGTGATTATTTTATCGCTCCACGCCACGTTCTATTCCTAATCTGTGCTCCGCTCCGTGTTGGAACTGCGTGGTACTTAAATCTCCTTGTTTCTGGGTAAAGGGTAAGGTTTATGGTATCACTGAGTTCTATAAATACATTATGGATATGTTAGTTTTTTGTCTCGTGTGTGGCCACGCTATCCCATCCTCTATAGCTTTCTTACTCTAAGAACAAAACAAAGGATTCGCGCTCCTACAGACAATCACGTCTGTACAAGTTTTTGGCGCTAAAATCCAGCCGAATACTTTTGCCTAATATTCGGCTATTCGGTCAGGGGCCTCGCCGAATATTCGGAATTCGGTATACTGCCGAATATACTATTCGTTGCAAGTCTAGTAAAAAAGGTTAAACTCGCGTCATGTTAAACACGTGGGCTGATCGCATCATGACACACAATAAGGGCGCTTTCAATTTATGCGTTTCTTGACGGCCTGCTGCGGTGCCGAAGCGGTGCGTTTGTCGTACAGCGCCCTAAAATTGGAAAGGTTGTTGACTTCCAATATATTGGACGAAACATAGTAATATTTTATTTTATCGTATTATAATAATAAGTTTCTATCTAGGACGTCCACGTGGCAGCTTTATTGCGAAGAAAATGCATTTTTAGGTACCTACTTAGTTATTTCTGGTTTTTGAGTTTTTAGACATTAAGTAGTTTTAAGCTTTTGTAACGTTAAATATTTCTATGTAAATATAAATAAATTAAATATTTTAATAATAAAAAACAATAAGTATAATATAAATATATATTGATTGTAATACGTAACTTGTAAGAGATAGCTGGTTCATGTTGAGCTTTTCAAAGTGTTTAAAAAGAGTACCTACTAACTGTAAGCATTTGCATTTAAAGTGAATATGGGCCGCAAATTTACTATTCTGACGGAAATTTGTTGTATAAATTAATATAAATACCAAGGCAATCAAACTCAGGCATCCGATGTCCAGACCACCGTACAGTGCGACAAGGATATTTATGAACGTGAGAGATAGTTCGGAGAACGCACCATTATCTAGGTACGTAAATGACGTACAAAATATGACGTTTCCAAAGACGGCGTCATTAGTTCAAAAATTTCGCCCATTTCATAAAGATCCTTGTCGCACATATAATTGCTGGACTAACAGCAGCGCAGCAGAGTTGCTCACGAAATCTTTGTCGAACCTAAAGCATAGCAGTACATTGATTGTATCACCTTTAATGTAAATAGCAGGCGCATTGTTGTCCTTAGTCTGTGTGATTCCGAGCGCGTGCCAGGGGTCCACGGAGCCGTGCACGAACACCACGCGGCTGACGGCGATGTCCACACCGCCGTACTTGCTGTTAGTCCACGCTGCAGCGTTGCTCACGAAATCTTTATCGAACCTTAGATTATATTTTTACTATTATTTATTATATCAATATTTATGTCCTATATTTGGATTTATACCGCCGTTCGCGTTTTTATTTTTTCCCAAAGGTTGACTGGGTGAGAATGCTATTAGCATTAAGTCCGCCATTTGTACCATTCTCTTGTATGTTGGTCAATAGCAGAGGATACTTTTTATTATACAAGATTGTAATGTGAGCCTAATTATGTTGCAATAAAAGCATGCATGACGACCCTCGTGGCTAGTGGTATGTACACCGATTTTCGAGGTGTCGCTTCCTCAGAGGTTCCTCCTAGTGGGGCAAATGTTTGTGTGATGAATACGAGCATATGTACCTAAGTCATGGATGTTTATATGAATTTCTAAATAAAACATACTTATATAAATGTGTCATTGTTAACTTTCTTTTACTCTACTATATATTCTATAACACAAGCTTTACAGTGCTTACTTTGGGGTGCTAGGTTGATTTGGTGTGTGTGTTAGAAATATTTATTTATTAGGAGGTTAACTGCGTAACAACAGCGTAATAATTATATTTTTACTAGTTTCCCTCATAGACTGCGTCAGCTTTCACTTTAGTTTTTTGAGAAACCCAGCGGAACCTTTAATTTTTCCAGGTTAAAAAGTACCTATACTCTGTTAATTATGGTAGGTAATATGTAATAAACTATGTGTGCCAAATTTTATTAAAACCTATTCCGCAGTTTTTGCGTGATTAAATAACTAACATTTTTAATATTAATAGAATTTGAGATTAAAATCTCTAAACCAAAGATTAAAGAGCATCTCTCTTTAGTGTCAATGATTGTCTATGATCAAATTTCAGTTTTAAAAATACCCACATTACCTCAAGCCTAAGTGGTAAATTAACCGATCAACCGTAAATTTACCTAATATGATATTGAATCATATTTGTACTTAGCACACCGGACAAATCCTTGCGATTTATGGCGTGCTTTTAGGTATATAATTGTTACTTTTGATATGAAATAAATAAAAAAAACATAAAACCCCTCAGTACAAGAAATTAGCACTTACTTTTTTCCAAACACATCTTCACACTGTTGTATGAAAAAGTCCAAGGTGAATGCATTACCAAATACTTCGACTTCAGCAGAAGATGTTTGATAGAAACCAAACTCAGTACAAGTCTGATACATCCATTGACGTGCTGAAAAAAGTTGTTTGTTTTTAGTAAACTTTTAGGAAAGAGGTATAATTGTGTCGATCATGAATGAACAGTATGGAAAGTATGCTTATCAAAATGTTTTTACTATTCACCAATTTATCATTTACGACGGTATCTCAATACATTAACTTTACATAGGAATTTTTTTCTTATATACTTATTAAGCTACTCCTGCAGCAACTTTTTTATCATCCATAAATAAATAGGCAAACAATGCAATAAGATAAGTCTGCTATTTCCCACTAGGACGGATTTTTTACTTTTTGTACAATACCTTCATCTCCACCCCATGTAATGTTTCTTAATTCCTGAATCATGTTACTGTAGCTATAGTCCAGACAGGTCTGGTTGTTTTTATTCATAATAATCGCATTGAAGTCTGCTAGTCTCTTGTAGGCAGGTTTCTCTTTGCCTTCCGTAAGTATCTTGCAGATCTAATTTTGAAAATAATAAAATATTCAATAGGCTTAATTTTGACTTTTATTAACTATTCCACTGTGTTCAGAAATGAATAAATATGTCCAATAAGCAACTTTACAGGCAAAGTTTTGAATAAATGAAGTAAAAAAATAAATAGACCATTCCAAAATTTACCTGTGTATTGAAGGTAAATTTATTTTTTTATAAACTTAGCTTCAATCTAAGGACCAAAAGAAAAATATGTAAAGCTTACAGTGTTTATGGTAACATTCCTATATTCCTCATTCGCTCCAATCCTGTTATCTTCATTGTACTGTACTACATCAGCAAAATCATCAGCAATGGAGCTATAAAAATTCTTAATGTCATCCGGAGAAGCATCTGAGAATTTCTTGCAAACTCTGTGAATATAAAAATAAAAAAATATTCCAGTATTAACAAAAAAAGTAAAAATAAAATAAAAATAGTTTTGAATGAATTTGCAACTGCTAATGATTACTTGAATTCTTTTTCTATTATTTCTGGTTGCCCTTTCATCAGATCAGTGATTTGTTGATGAGCCAATTTCACTTGTTGCACGCAATCGTCATCACCAGTTTTTTCACGGAGCGCATCCACAACAACTTTGAAATATTCTGAAAATAAAAATTCATAATACCATCATCGAAAAAAAAAACAATCTGTAGTTTGAAAATTAGCTTCATTTGATTTTTTTCCTGAAAAACATCTGTGACTATCTTTTGATTTTATCAAAAGTATCCAATCTGCCAGCAAAATTAAAATAAAAGGTTAAGATTAAATGTAGCAGAAAATTAAATTAAAACCCATGTTTGGTCATGAAAATCCCAAGGCAATGATCCTACAGTCTCTATTATTCGTCAGTGTGAATATGCGGGGAACCAATAACAGAAGGTAGATGTTATGAGCCATTTTACAGAATGAAAAAACGCTTGATGAATTACTAACCTACGTATAATGCGATTCAAATAAGAATAGGAAAGCCAATGACCTCCATCTGTCAAACGTCGCTTGTAAAGTACAGTTTGCAAAAAAATCTCGGAACACTTTTTTAGCACTCTGCTAATTCTAGAATAAAAATCAATCATTTTTAAACAAACAATAACAAATATTGATAATTAATATTGGTTGATATTTTTTTTCATTTATTGAGCTTTGGCTATGAATGGTTGATAACTTAAATCGTCAACTTTATGTTGCGTTCAGAAACTCGATTTTAAACTTTCGTTAACATATAGGATGCATATTCGTATGTGACCTGCATAATTATACATAACTACTCCGGCGGTAATGCAGAGATGAGCGGAATTGAAGAGCTAGATTCTGATTAATGTTTTTTCTCACACAGTCTTAATAAAGAAATATTATTAAATCTTAATATCTTGTAATCTTAGTAAATTAGTTTTATTAAAAAATCCGATGTTTTTTCTCACTTAATCTATGTAATTAAGTTATATTAAGAATTTTTTTTGCTCGCTCTACCTATTCGGTTTGAATTGACAGCTATGACGTCAAAATATGGCGCCCAGTCGGTCCTATTCTTAGTTGAATCGCATTATAACTCATCAGTGATCGGATAATCGGGCGCTTGTTTTAACTAAACTTCAAGAAATTACATAGTAGGTATCATAACAGCCTGATGATTTCTATTCCTTATATCATAAATGAGAGTATTTTTATTTATACGTTTTCACGCCTAAATATGTGGGACTTTAGAGACGGCTTTAAAACAAAGAATGTAACCGTCACACCCATGCAGTGGGCTCAGGACAGATTTGCCACACACGCTATGGCGGTATGTTTACTGTGCAGTTTAAAGCAGCTTTTTCGCTACTAACAATGGCAATATTAGGTTATTATTTTCAAATCCTGTGTATTTTACCATTTTTTAAACTAGATGTGGAAATAAGATTACTGCAAAAAGGTAAAATGTTTTAATAATCGTCAAGGATGAACTATTCTTTACTTGTTTTGAAAGCACTCAAAGTTTAATAACTATCTATCTAACAAGTTATAAATATCTGTATAAATACCCATAAAGTCAACTTTCGCCAGTAATGGACCACTTGACGACACGGCCGCATAAATAAGATGCGGGTACTTCACGCGAACCCATGCTGCCAGGGAGCCTGGATAGGATCCTCCAAAAGCAATCCATTTAGTGTCCTTGGGGAGTTTGTAAAGCTCATTCATCTCTTGAATAAAATATGCAAGGTCATCCATTGCTTGACTGGACGAAAGATATTGCAAATTTTTTGTAGACATGTCTCTGCAAATATTAAGTTTTATTCAGTTATTTAGTACACTCCAATGTTATCTGAATGAACTCTAATAATCTCTGCTTATCTTTATAAGGGCAGATCGGACACAATTTTTAGTATAGTTGTAGATCTATTTTAAACAAAAATTCAACACTAAAACAAACCAACTTTGTTTACTATATAAAGCATGAACCCTTACTCTGTAGGACGGCTCTCTCCATAATAACGATGTTCCAAGTTGATGCACAATGCTTTGAAGAACTTGGCATATTCAATCCAAGCACCTTTTACCATCCATTTTGGATCTGCTGGACCTTCTCCCCCGATCATAAGGAATACAGGACCGGGATTATTTTTATCAAAGTATTTGTCATTCACGAAATAGCGCTGAAATTTTCGTAAAATGAATTTGATATTCTTGGAGACACTCGTGATTGTTTGCTTGATACATGTAGCATGTTTTTAAATAATATTAATTTATAATTGGAAAATAAATTTATAATTAATTTTATTTCATTATTGTTAAAAAATACTACTGTATATCATACGACCTCAGTACGATATACAGTAGTATTTTTAATGCTGTGTACAGTCCTAATAGCCCAAGCGGAGTTTTTTAAATTTGCAGAGCATGGCAGAATATCACAAAACCTTGCACCTTGAAGTACTCCCATCATACCTGAGTAGGCCGAATGTAGCAGCACAAAAACATTTCCATGGCTGTGACTTTTTGTTGTGTCCAAATCGTCAGTCTTTTGAATAGGGGCTACTGGAGGGTTTCCCTACTATAAGTGACATGCAAATAATAAGTGTATTATGTTATTATTATCTTTTAATGTATGATATGTATTGCTGTAAGTGTGCCAGTGTAAGTTTAAAAATGAAATAAATAAATAAATGAGTGTATTTCATAGTTATGGTATCATAAAAGGTGTTTAGGTGTCATAAATACTGTTAACAATGACAATAACCATAATAATATCGTAAAATGAGTTATCTTAAGTATGTTAGTTAAATTGTTTTTTAATAACTGCTTTTTCTATTTTGCTAACTTGTTTCTTACTATATTTAGTATGTTCACTTCACATAGTCATTCTACTCATGAGAGTAATTCAATCCACCTTCCCTTTGTTACTGCGGGTGATGCTGTTAAAGGCGACTAATGGCAACTCTCAAAGCGCTACCAATGTGATGAGTGTCTTGTCCCGTGTAGCATAGGAGAGTACAATACTAATTATACTAACGAACGTAAATAACAGCATTAATTTGATTTTGTAGAGTACAACTTTTTTTAAAAACTACTCTACCACTTGCCTTTCACCTAACACACTCTATCGCACACTCTAAATGCTACTCTGGCACTACACTACCAAACTCTCTGCTACCACTCTATCTACCAATCTTGGTGGAGTACTCGGAATTGACCTGACCTGGCTACTGAATAGAACTGGTAATTGGTAATGGTATTCGTGCACCTCATGAAAGGAATGTCAATGTTGGAATTACTACAGACAACTTCGTCGTATTGCGTATTTACCATACGGAATCAGAGAACCAAAATTTCTTCACTCTCGCCAACACCTGCTTCAAACAATATAACCGAAGATTATACACCTGGATATGCCCTAGTGATAGATATAGGAATCTAATTAAATACAAAGAAACCCAACCAAAGTAGCTACAGATAGGCGAGGTATAAACATTAGTAATTTCAGAGATAATTTTGAACAAAAAGTGGGAGCAAGTAAGTTATATACCTAACAATAATGGCATAAAACTTCCTTGAGCATTTCTGATTGATAAAACAGACAGCGACAGTAAGTGGGAATACTTCAAACGGATGATAGATGAAACAGCTAGAGAAAGTAATCTTAACGAAATTGAAGGATTTTACTCTCCTGAGACAGAGCAGATCATTCTTGAAAGATCAGAACTGAATAATTCAAATCTCATGCAGGGTATTTTCCCACAATGTTTCAAAAACGCAGTCCTGTTCATAAATCTGGATGTAAAGATAATGTAAATAACTGGTAGTCTAGTAAAATTAGACAGAAAAATAAGAGTCAAGGAGCATAAATTCACATCAAGCTGAAAGTGTGTACAATTGACAATTAAATAAGAATAATAATAAAAAAAGTTCAAAACATAATTAAAAATATCATATCAAAATTTCCCATTGGGCAGTATTCGCACCTAACATTATAAAATAAATTTCTCCTATACAAATGTATGCATGCACTAAAAACAAAGAGATTTTGCAAAGTTTTCATTCAAAAACTATAAGACTAATAACTGGAGTTCCCTGGTACATGACAAACAGCCAACTTCATCACAACTTAAAGATCAAAACAGTTATAGAGGAAATAAGGGACTCGCTACCTAGCTACGCTAAGCGGAAGTCGAGACATCCAAATACACTGGCAAGAGAATTAATGAAGGACCTTCCAAAGTACACTTTCCAAAGATTAAAGCGTCAGGCTCCCCAATACCTGTAAATTGGTTATAATATAAATGGACAGTTCACTGGATCTTCTACCATTCACGCTTGTATAGAAATTCTTATTTTCCAGTGTAATGTCGCCAGGACAGAGCATGGGAAAAATCAGAGATAAAATATACAAAGTTTCAAGACCAACATATTGTGGTGGTGTGGCATAGCCACAACCATTCTCCTTGTTTATTTCCTCCATATATAACCTTCTTGGCCACCACTAACTTTAAAATGTTTTTTTATGCTTTTTATTTAATTTAGCAATATTACAGAGATTTGCAGATTTTACCAAATGGTAAACTTTGATTATTACTTGTGTAATATTGCTAAACTACTGTAAACCATTTGGTTTACAGTAGTTACAGGACCTAATTGAAATATCCCAGTTGAATTATGTAGACTACAGGAATATTTACAAGGTCTCATTAGGTTTATTCTGTAAACAGGAATCTCCATTAGGTTTACTCTGTAAACAGGAATTGTTTTTTCTACAAATCTATTATGATGATATATCAACATTACATGTGCACCACACAGTTTTTTTTTATTTGTGTTAGTAAATTAAATATTAAAGATTGAGAGATTCATTAAGCATCAGGCATCCCTAACGACAACGAGGAAGCTCAGATTATGCTTAACTCTTTCCGAAATATAAAAAGAAAGGCATCGCGATAAGAGAAAAGTAACCCACACAATTTATACTCCTCAGTCATCCAATTGCTAAAAAAATATTAAAACATCAAATAAAGTGATTATGAACGAAATTTCGTGCTTTTGTGACCGGTAAATTCTGATAGTAATAGTATCTGATAGGATTAAGATGGGTAGTCTATTAGTTAAAGATTTTCCTTAAGTTTATCATACGTATAAAAGAACCAACCTGTCTCCAGGTTTTAAGGTTTGAGGGGCTTGTGTGATCCAACTTTTGCGTAAACCACTTTGCGATTGGTAAAGGCTCCTCATCGTAGACGACCGGTACTCCGAGATTTCCACCTTTGCTTCGGCCCAAACGAAAATGTTTTGTACCAATAGTGGAAAGGATTTGTAATAGTATTAGTATGGCCGTTAGTATATTCATTTTAACTTTAGGTAATTAGCATGTACGAAATAAATCCCGTTTCACTGCAGAGATAACTTTAAACAAAATCTTTGCTTAGAAAAGCAAAACTTTGCAAAGCGAATGAAACTGCAGAAACGTCTAAACACAGACTAGTTAAAGATACCACTTAACCTTTAAAATACTACCACAGATTACTAAAATTATGTCTAACGTCAGAAACATATTGACGTTTCGTAGAGGGTCGTGACGTCCGTTCTCGCGAGTGTTGGTACACGTGTTTATGGGATTTTGACATTTTCGGCAGTTTAGTGGTTTAGTGGTACTTTCTCCACAGTATAAGCCGTTTTATCTTACGTAGTGGTGGTAGAAAGTGTATCCTTGTGTTGTTTTTATTGGTAAGTAACACAATAACTTCTTTTTTCCTACCCTTTCCATCGCTTGCGTCGTGAGCGATGGATAGGGTACCTCCCGACCCACCAGATCCTCCGGATGAGGAGCGATCTCCGACTCCGATGGATCAGTCTCCCCCATAGTTCACGCAAACAGGCACTAAAAGACGCCTCAACCCAGAAGCAGAGGCCGAGCCTATTAGAAAAACTCTTATTACCGAATCACAACAAGCCAATCATTCTCTGTATACCCACCCCTCTCTTAATGATGCACCTAAATTGTACTCTAATTTGGATAAAGGTCCTTTCATTGTGCATGTATCAATTGATGAGGCCTCCCCCTCTACTGGTTCTTCTATCCGACCTCTTATATTTTGCAGATTTTTGACAAAAAACAAATTTAAAAATATAGTCAAAGATGGAATTAAAAAAAATGGACGCAATCGCATCTCTGTGGAATTCCTATCATATCAAGATGCCAACACATTCTTAAATAATCCCCTATTAGCCCTGAATAAATATGTGGTTACTATTCCAACCTACAACGTAACCCGTATGGGTCTGATTAAGGGAATTCCAACAGAATTAAGTATGGAAGAACTTGTGGAGTCTTTGGATGTTCCAGATGGTTGTGGTATTGTCTTAAAAGCAAGACGTCTGAACCGTAAACAAATTGTTGATGGCAAGACTTCTTGGGTTCCATCCCAATCTGTGGTCCTCACATTTAGGGGACATTGGTGTCAATTCTGGCATGATTCTCTAAATCTAAACTTAAATTTGACAACAGTGCATCCTTGCCATTCTCTATACAGAATGAAAAGGAGAGACTGATGTTAAATTTAGTTATAAGTTTAGAGAATCACGCTAGAATCGGCACCATTGGTGTCGATTCTAGCGTGATTATAACTTTAGAGAATCATGCCAGAATCGACATCACTATCTACCTAAAAGAATATATATTTTTTTTTACACGTCAATTCCTGTTGAAAACTACCTACCACCAACTATACAGTGTAACAACTGCTGTAGGTTTGACCATGTTAAAGCTCAATGCCGGTCAAAGCCCAGATGTTTCCGTTGTGCCCAACCTCATGCAGGTGAAACCTGTGTGGTTCCTGAAGAGAAGGCTACATGTCTATATTGTTCCAGTAGACATTTTGCTACAAACAAGTCATGCCCAGAACACTCTAGGCAAAAATCCATTAAAATTAGCATGTCACAGGAAAATATGTCTTTTCATGAAACCTCTCAGCTTTATCCACAGGTAAAAAGATCCTATGCTGACTCTTCTAAATCTGTTTCACCCTCTTTACCAATATTACCCGGCTCACAAAACCCAAGCACACTAAGCAAACAACCTACCTCCTACAAAAAAACTATCTATCTTCAAGCACGGTCTAGGACTCCCCTAGGCAGGTCATATGACAGATTAGCTCACCAAAATATTATAAGTAGCCCTTCATCAACTCTTCCTAATGGCTGTGCATTAGGTAATACAGAAGATGCACTCCCCTCATATGATTCTCCTAATGATGACTACTTGGACCTACCGTGGTTATTAGTAGCTAATATTTTGTCCAAATATAGTGATGTCCCCTTACCGCCCAAAGTTCCTTCTCAGATTTTCCCTCTTTTAAATAACTTATTCAAAAATGGCTCTGAACATTATTCAATGGAATTGTAAAAGCATTCAAAGCAAAGTGTCAGACTTGAAATACTTGATCAATAAATTTTCTCCATCATTACTTGCAATATCGGAGACATGGTTAAACCCAGACAGGCACTTTGGTGTCTCTGGGTTCTCATGCCTTCAGGATGGCAGGAGTGATGGATGGGCGTAAAGCGCCCTTCTGGTAAAACGGTCTTTGGTTTATGAAAATTTAATTCTTCCCCCCCATAATTCAGACCGATTTAATGCAGTGGCAGTGAAAGCCCTTGGCATTTCTTTTGCCTCAATCTACATTCCTTACCCTAACGCTGACTCCATTCAAGAGCCTCGGTCAATCATTAAAGCTCTTCCACCGCCAATCACCCTAATGGGTGACTTCAACGCCCACCACACCTGTTGGGGATCTCAACAGTCAAACAGCTTTGGCATTCTTCTTCTTGATCTCTTTGACGAAGAGAACCTACGTGTCATAAACACTGGCCGGCCTACTAGGCGGACTTCCCCATCTCAGAACTCCAGTGCGGTGGACCTTACTGTTTGTTCTCCAAATGTGGCTTCACAATTTAACTGGGACATTCTCTACAGTACATTTGGCAGTGACCACTTCCCCATCGTGATCTCTTTACCTTCCAACTCTTCCAACCCACATAATACGAATCCTCCTCTTTTAAAGTATAACTTAAATAAAGCTGATTGGTCTTCATATTCTGCAACAGCTAAAGTCAAAATAGCATCCCTACCGGATATATCCCGGGACAACTGCCTTTCTGCTTATTCATCCTTAGTAGAAGTTATGATCTCCTCGGCTGATGAACATATCCCCGTAAAAAACCGTTCTTTTAGGAAAGAACACCCACCTTGGTGGGATGCTGAATGTACTGATGTGATTCGAAAAAGGAAGGAGATTGAAAAAAAAATATAATCTGTCCATGACAATGCAGAACTATTTGCAGTACAAACAGACAGATGCCCGGACAAAAAAATTCCTTGAAAAGAAAAAAAGAGACTGCTGGGTGAGGTTCTGTGAGGAAATGGCGCCTGGCACCCCCTCTTCTAAAGTCTGGAAGCAAATAAAGAGGTTCCGCAGGGCTTCCGACCGTCCCAATCCAACTTCAAATAACCCCGCAGAATGGATGGACACTTTCGCAGATAAACTGGCTCCACCCTTTGTTCCATCTGTCTCCCTCTCTGTCCGTATCTCGTCCTCCATTCTAGTCACCCCATGGATAAACCTCTTAATTTTAATGAACTGCTTTATGCGGTCTTAAGGACTCTTCGCCAGGAGTCGATGGTATTCCCTACTCGTTTTTAGTAAATTCTACTGAAAAGATTAAACAGTACTTCTTAAAAGTAGTAAACATATTCTTTGAACAGGGCATCATCCCTGAGTCATGGAACAAACAAATAGTAAGTAATTCCATTACTAAAATCGGGTAAGGATCCCCGTGACTCTTATAGGCCAATTGCAATTGCACTTTCCTCGACTTTATTTAAAATCATGGAGCACATGATCAGAAACCGTTTGGAGTGGCTATTGGAGAACCAAAACCTGCTAGCTAAATCACAATATGGTTTTAGGAAGGGTAGTAGCACTCTAGATAATCTTAGCATCCTAACCACAGAAATCCGGATAGCTTTTAAGAAAAAGGAATATGTAGTGGGTTTATTTCTCGACATAGCAGCCGCTTACGACAACGTTCTCCTTCCGGTATTCAGGTATAAATTGCAACAACTGAGTGTCCCAGTAAAGTTGACTCGTTTTATCCTGAATGCAATATCCTGTAGAACTATTGAGATCAGGTATCAGGGTATCTCGCTCCCTCCGAGAATGCTTTAGAAGGGTCTCTCCCAAGGGTCACCCCTTAGTCCCCTTCTGTATAATGTGTATACATACGACCTCGAGAAAACGGTTGACTCCTTTTGCCAAGTCCTTCAATATGCAGACGACGTTGCTCTTTATACTAGGTGCAAAAGCATTCCCGAAGCTTCTACTCGCCTCAATTTAGCAATGTCGTACCTAAGTGACTGGCTTACAGATCATGGATTGACACTGTCTATTAGTAAATCCTCCTGTACAGTGTTTACCAAAAAACGAACCATGCCATCGCCAAAGATCTTTTTTGAAAGCACACCCATCCCACTGTGCGACCAAGTCAAGTTTTTAGGCGTCACCCTGGACTCACGTCTCTCTGGTTGTCCGCACTTCGAAAATGTAATCAAGAAATGTGAAAAGAGCGTCAACATTCTAAGTGCTCTCTCTGGGGTATGGTGGGGTTCCCACCCTTATACCCAGAAATTACTATAGAATGCCATAGTCCGCAGCCATCTGGACTATGGTACCTTTCTCTTGGATCCTTGTAACAAACTCCCTTTAGACAAAATTTCCAAAATTCAGTCCAAATGTTTGCGCATTATACTTGGTGCTATGAAAACTTCACCCATCAACGCCCTCCAAGTGGAAAGCGTTGATCCACCCCTATATTTACGTAGGCAATACCTTAGCGATCGTTTAATTCTTAAAATTCTTCCATTTTCGTCTCACCCATTAATGCGAAAATTAAAAACACTATCACAGCCGTCTCTTCCACAATCTACCTCCTCAAACAACATCCCCTGCATCCTACATAGCTATAACAAATTTAATTCGACATCTATCCCCATCGAACAATTTCGATGTCAGCCTCTTTTTATGAACAGTTTTGACTCTTTGACTTTCTCTCCGCCCGTTATCCTTAATTTCGGTGCTGAGAAAGATTCCCCAATTGCCGTTCAGACATTCTTTAACAACCTCTCAACACACTGGCAAAATTGGACTCCATTATACACAGATGCTGCTCGACTACACGATAAAGGATCCATTGGAGCTGCAGTATGGTTTCCAGCACACAAAATAATTTTGAGTTTAAAATTGCCTCCACTAGCCTCAGTATTTACCGGTGAAGCTATTGCTATCCTGGAAGCTGTCTTATTTATAGAATCTCACGGTCTGAATAACTCATTTATTATGGGTTAGAGAGAGAGAGAGGTTAAAGAGTCGATATGACACGTACGACACGTAAATATGCCTCTAACCATAGGGTGCGGCCAGAGTGCACTCAGATTCAGAGTCAGATTCAGATTCTGAAAACAAGCGCGAGAAATAAACAGTGTAGTCTAAGCAGGTTGCCTGCTTTTTCTCGCGCTTTGTTTTCTGAG